GAAATTTCGAATTTCTATTGGACGCTTTGATTTGATAATTGTTGCATAATATTTTCGTGAGCATAGTTCTCCATAAATTGAAACTTGGTGTTTAATAATTTGAAATTTGGACTTCATTACTCTGAAATTCGTGCTTATCGACAAGGAAATTCAATTTATCTACCTGAAAATTAGACGTGTTTCCTGAATTTCCGTTTAACAATTTTTTCCATTTCGTCACCGTAGGCAAAGTTTGCTATATATTGAAATTTTGACTTGAATCAGTTGACATTTGGACTTCGTCAACTTGAAATTTTATTTTATTGATTTAAAATTTCAACATATAGCAAACTTTACTTAGGGTGACGAAATGCAAAAAATTGTTAAACGGAAATTCAGGAAACACGTCTAAATTTCAGGTAGATAAATTGAATTTCAGGACAATGAAGTCCAAATTTCAGATTATTAAAGCCAGAATTTTGATTAATGGAGAATTGTCCTTACGGAAACTGTCCTTATTATGCAACAATTATTAAAAATAAATGTCAACTAAAAATTCGAAAGATTATTACATAAAAATCTGGGAATGGATAAGGAATTGAAATTCCCAGTTTAAAAGGTTTAAATTTCAAGATGACGAAGCCCAAATGGCAAGGTATTTTAAGTCTAAATTTCAGTTTATTCGAGTTAAAATTGTGATTTAGGAAAAAGGTCTCAATTTCAGGTCGAGAAATAAAATTTCATCATTGATAAACACAAATTTTAGGACAATGAAGTCCAAATTTCAGCTTATTAAAGCCAGGATTTCGATTTATGGAGAATTGTACCTACGGAAATTGTCCTTATTATGCAACAATTATTAAAACAAAATGTCAAATAAAAATTCGGAAATTCCAAGTCAATAAGAAATTTCAAGATGACGAAGCCCAAACGTCAAGGTATATAAGTCAAAATTTCAACATATGGCAAAATTCGCTTTGGGTAGAAATAGACAAAAAAATATTAATTGCAAATTCAGCACCACTCTAAATTTCAGGTCAGTAAGTTGAAATTCAAAGTCGGTAAGTCCAAATTTCAGATTATTAAACCCAAAATTTCAATTTATGGAGAATTGCGCTCACAAAAATATTATGCAACAATTATTAAATCAAAACGTCCAGTAAAAATGCCAAATTTAAAATCAATAAAATGAAATTTCAAGTTGACGAAGAAGTCCAAATGTCAACTTATTTAAGTCAAAATTTCAACATATAGCAAACTGCTTAGGTTAACGATTCTAAACAATTGTTAGATGAAAATTTAGGAAAAAGATCAGCAATTCAAGTCAACAATAAAATTTCCTACTTGATACATACAAATTTCGGGACAATGAAGTCCCAGTTTCAGATTATTAAACCAAGAATTTCGGTTTATGGAGAATTGTGCTCACGAAAATATTATGCAACCGTTATTAAATAAAAACGCCCACTAGAGATTCGAACTTTCAAATCAATAAGATCAAATTTCAAGTTAACGAAGTCCAAATATCAATTGATTCAAGTCAAAATTTCAACATATAGCCAAACTTTGCTTAGGGCGACGAAATGCAAACAATTTTTAAACGGAAATTCAGGAAATACGTCTAAATTTCAGGTAGATAAATTGAATTTCCTTGTCGATAAGCAGAAATTTCAGGGTAATGAAATCCAAATTTCAGATTATTCAACCAAGAATTTTGATTTATGGAGAATTGTCCTTACGTAAACTGTCCTTATTATGCAACAATTATTAAAACTAAGTGTCAACTAAAAATTCGAAAGATTATTACATACAAATCTGGGAATGGATAAAGAATTGAAATCCCCAGTGTAAAACGTTTAAATTTCAAGATAATGAAGTCTAAATTTCAGTTTATTCACATCAAAAGTGTGATTTAGGAAAAAAGTTTTCAGGTAGAGAAATAAAATTACATCTTTGATAAACACAATTTTAGGACAATGAAGTCCAAATTTCAGCTTATTAAAGCCAGAATTTCGATTTATGGAGAATTGTATCTACGGAAATTGTCCTTATTATGCAAAAATTACTAAAACAAAATGTCGGCTAAAAATTCGGAATTTCCAAGTCAATAAGAAATTTCAAGATGACGAAGCCCAAATGTCAAGGTATATAAGTCAAAATTTCAACATACGGCAAAATTTGCTTTGGGTAACAATACACAAAAAAACATTAATTGCAAATTTAGCACCACTCAAAATTTTAGGTCAGTAAGTTGAAATTGAAAGTCGATAAGTACAAATTTCGAGGTAATGAAGTCCAAATTTCAGATTGTTAAACCCAAAATTTCAATTTATTGGGAATTGTGCTCACGAAAATTTTATGCTACAATTATTAAATCAAAACATCCACTAGAAATCTTAAATTTCAAATCAATAAGATGAAATTTCAAGTTGACGACGAAGTCCAAATGTCAACTTATTTAAGTCAAAATTTCAACATATAGCAAACTGCTTAGGTTAACGATCCTAAACAATCATAAGATGAAAATTTAGGAAAAAGATCAGAAATTTAGGTCGACAAATAAAATTTCCTAGTTGATAAGTACAAATTTCAGGACAATGAAGTCCCAATTTCAGATTATTAAACCAAGAATTGCGGTTTATGGGGAATTGGGCTCACGAAAATGTTATGAAACCGTTATTAAATCAAAACGTCCGCTAGAAATTGGAAATTGCAAATCAATAAGATCAAATTTCAAGTTAACGAAGTCCAAATATCAACTGATTCAAGTCAAAATTTCAACATACAGCAAACTTTGCTTAGGGTGACGAAAACAACTGTTAAAAGGAAATTCAGGAAACACGTCTAAATTTCAATTAGATAAACTGAATTTCCTTGTTCATAAGCAGAAATTTCAGGGTAATGCAGTCCAAATTTCAGATTATTCAACCCAGAATTTCGATTTATGGAGAATTGCACTTGGGAGAACTTTACTACAAAATTATTACAAGAGAATTTGAACACAAAATTTTACGTCAACAAGTTGAAATTTGAAAATAACGAAGTCCAAATGTCAACTGATTCAAGTCAAAATTTCAACATATAGTGAACTTTAGTTAAGGTGACGAAATGCAAAAAAAATGTTAAATGGAACTTCAGGTAACACGGCTAAATCTAAAAAACTGAATATCATTTTCGATAAGCACAACATTTGAGATAATCAAGTCAAAAGTACAGCTTATTAAAGCCAGAAATTCGATTTATGGAGAATTGTGTCTACGGAAATTGTCCTTATTATGCAACAATTATCAAAACAAAATGTGGACTAAAAATTCCGAAATTCCACATCAATATGAAATTTCAAGTTGACGAAGCCCAAATGTCAACGGATTTAAGTTTGCTTAGGGTAGCAATAAACAAAAAAATATGAATTGCGAATTTAGCACCAGTCAAAATTTAGGGTCAGTAAGTTGAAACTCAAAATCGGTAAGTACAAATTTCGGCATAATGAAGTCCAAATTTCAGATTGTTATTAAGCCCAAAATTTTTATTTATGGAGAATTCTGCTCATGGAAATATTATGCAACAATAACCAAATCGAAGCATCCACTAGAAATTCGAAATTTAAAATCAATAAGATCAAATTTCAAGTTGACAAAGTCCAAATGTCAGCTTATTTCAGTCAAAATTTCAACATATGGCAAAATTTGCTTAGAGTAACGATATCGAAACAATTAAAATGAAAATTTAGGAAAAAATTTGAATTTAATCTAAAAATAAAATTTCCTAGTTGATAAGCACAAATTTCAAGACAATGAAGTCCCAATTTCAGCTTATTAAACCAAGAATTTCGGTTTATTGAAAACTGTGTTTACAGAAAATTATGCAACGTTTATTGAAACAAAATGACGACTAAAAATTTGAAATTTGAAGTCAATAGGATGAATTTCAAAGTAACGAAGTCCAAATGTCAACTGATTCAATAGCATATTTTGCTTAGGGTGTCGAAATGCAAAAAATTATTAAATGGAAATTTAGGAAAAACGTGTAAATTTCACGTCGATAAATTGAATTTCCTTGTCGATAAGCACAATTCAGGATAATTTCAGCTTATTAAACCCAGTATTTCGACTTAAGGAGAATTGTCCTTACGGAAATTGCCATTATTATGCAACAATTATTATAAAAAAAAAAATGTCGACTACAAAATTTCAAGTCAATAAGATTATTATATAATTTGATTTTGTTTACGACAATCTGGATGCCTAGGTCATACAAGCAAGGCGGATCCATAAACCACAAATATAGGGATAAGTTAATACTGTTACATAATAACTATTACTTTGTTATACCCCGTTTCTGACAAATTAGTTCGGTTTTATGTTACGATAAATGCGACGTTTATATGTAAAAATACATAGGGTGTTTCATTAAAAAAAAAACATGTAGTGTGTTATTTAAAGTATAATGCTCAAAGAATCGTACAACTATGGTCTTTGACTTTTTCCCGTATTTCAGAGATATCGAGGAACGTGCACTTACGACTCACCTGTATATTGCAATATTCTATAGAAATAGTTTTTCTTTTATTATTCCTTGGCGCTATATTCATATAATTTATTTTTATTTATTTATTTAATATTAAATTTACAGACTTCAATATATCCAGTGACCCCGTCTACTTGTACTTGTTCTTTTTTTTTAATTGCCATTTGTGTGAAATATTCCTCAATTTCATGTGGTTAATATACTTTTCATAGCCATCTGCAACGTGCCAATCAATGACTACGATAATTTTTATTGTGTTGCGTCGAACAAAAGCCACCTTCATTACCAAAAATAAATAAATAAACCCCTCCCCTCTGGCGCATTATTTATCCAAGCATCAAGGGAACCATAAAATTGGCCCATTTCCACCCCATTTCCATTCCTAAAAACCGAAACTCCGCCATTTCGTCGAGGCACGTCTGGCTCTCTATAAAAAAGCAGCCACTCGACATGAATCTTTAATCTCTCTTAAAAATAATAACACTAAATTTCAGGACCTCCAATCGATTCTGACGTCGATCGAAGAGCGCTTAAGGAACCTGGATACCATCTACTCCATACACCTCTCCCAGAGCTTCGAGGAGAAGCTAGAACAATACCAAAGAAAACTCGAGTCCATCGACACGAAAATAATCCGATTGGAAACGCTCGCGATGTTAAATTTAGATAAAATATCCGAAAATATCAGCACGAAGAACTTCAAAGACGATATCGCGAGGACAAATCTGGCGAAGAAGGTTGATGCGGTGTACGAAGGTATCAGTCATAGATTGAATTACATGGATCGAAAGCTCGAAACGAGCTCGGGTAAACTGCAGGCAAGATTCGTGGTGGCCCGATTCGAAATTTCGCTAAAATTTCGGCTTTCAGGGGAAGCTGGAGGCGGCGCTGACCCGCTTGGAGAGGATGGACGAGAGCTTCACGACTCGGAACGAAGAGATAGAAATTGAATTATCGGATGCTCTGGCGGCCATCGACGATTTAAAAACCAGCTACGGAACGATGGAGGAGAATATCGTCAACAACACCGACGAAAACTTCGAAGTCAGTGTCGGAGTCGGAGCGAACTTATTAACATGACAGACCTTTTCAGATCTCCCTGAAAGAGCAAATGCTCTTAATGAAAAGCTTCAACGACAAATCCAACCAGGCAATACAGGCGCTCTACGAAAACACGACAAGGGGTTTTGACAGGATAGAGCGGAAGATCGGAATGGGATTGGACGCTATTAACGAAACCGATCGATTTTTGAAAGGCCTAAAACTCGAAGTGAAGCGGGAACTTAATGAATATGCAATAAAAGTGAGTCGAAAACATACGCGGAAACTTCTGGTCCGCGGATTTTTCCGCTTTGATCCGGTCTTAATTTAGTGCTCGTAAAAACTTTTCTAATTAGGAGTTAATCCGGGCGATAGGGCACTCTTTACCTCGTGTATCATTTTTAATGCGAGTTATGCAACTGAAATCCACCTGATGAACACGCAACAATCGATTTTCGTCACGTAACAAGTTTTGCTCTTGTCGAGTGCTCCCCTAACGAGATTTTCTCAGATTTTTCGAGTCGGCAAAATGGAACGCGACGCGGTAACGTAATGGATTATTCCGGGGATATGTAAAAGGTCCTGACGATGATTAAATAAATGCGTAAATTTAATTAACTCGTCGATTTAAGGGCTTTCTCTTCTTTCGGCTCAAGAATTTCGCCCATTTATTGAATTCTGACTCGCGAGATAATCCTATTATGTCCTAAACACAACTTCCACCGCAATAGGCTTTGGTGGAATTAATTTGGCAATAAATTACGGGCAATAAAGATCGTTCTAATGGCCCCGTGCATTAGTTTAATCATATTTTCCGCGGATTTATTTCCGAGGGTCTATTACGTTTGCAGTAAAATCGGGTTACAACGCTAGAAATTCCAAAATCTTTTGCTTGTCTCCCTAGTCAGCGCACTGAGTATGAAATATAATCCACCACCACATACATAAAGTCTTCTTAAATACCCAAAAACAATGTGATGATTTAAGCTCCAAATTTTGCAGGGTAAATGCTAATTAAATTTTTATTTTATACTCCTGTACTTGTGGTTAATGAATCCACCTTGATTTTTTAACCTAGGTATCCAGATTTTGTGAAAAAAAAAAATACGACATTCCTAAAACAAAGTTTTTCAAAATTTGTGAACGCAGTTTTTCAAAATTATTCCATTTATTACAATATTATCCTACGGAATAGGCAACAAATAAACAATGACATCGAATATCGATTAAGCTTGTCGTTATCTACGAACTGCCCACGATTCTATTTTTGGTTACCCATAAATTTCTATTGTACAGAGTTCCACAAAATCTAACAATACGTTAAATACGCTATTGAAGACACATATTTAAAATATGTAATTATAATTTTTCAAAAATATGGTTTATAAGAAGGCAATTTCAGTGATCGGACGTAATATCATCTAAAATTTATAACAAATGTTAATATCTTAAACAGTGTTCAACTGAGATAATTGTATTAAAAATACTGGATGATAACCAGATTAAAACGGCTTTATTTTTCTTACACAGTTGCTACGCTCAATCCACAAGCTGCATATTTGCAATATAGCTAAAACAGCACCCTTAACAATCGTGTCATAAATACTTTAAAACTTTTAAAAGGTCTATACCTACAATATGTGAAAATGTACATTCGTTTTTTGTTAATCACTTGTTGCCAGAAATTGTCTTTTTTGTATTGTTTATTAAGGAGTCATTAGCATCGATTTATTGATTTCTTCGCGTTACTTGAATTTTTTTTCAATAGTCAACGTACTAAATAAATTGACTATTAAATATTGCATCGAACCGAAAATAAAAAAAAATAGGACATGTAAAATTACAACACTTCAATAAAAAACATTGGTCCAAGGTTATTTCATTAAAAAATATATAGAAAATCCCAGTAACATTGTAATAAAAAAAAGGATCCATGAGAGAATTATTAAATGCATATTCTACCTGAGCATAACTATTTTTATTATTATTTAAAAAAATCCTAAAAACTTAATATTATGCATTTAACATATTATAATTATTACAAATCTACAAGAAAAACCACGTCAATTAAAAAAAGTGGTTCAAATATCTAATGTAGGCAATCAATCATTCGTCCCTGCTCGGGTTCTAGGCTAAGTAAAAATGCTAATGTGGGTGACATCGTATTTAATAGCAGGTGATTTTTTAAATTTCTGTTCTAGTTAGCAGTTTCAATTACCATGCTGAAGTAAACGCCATGGCTAACCAGAGCAGAAATTTTAAAAAATCACCCGAAAAAGAAAGTACTTTGGGAGCCCATGGACATTTCTTTTATAAATTATTTAAAACAATTTTGGCGGACTTATAAATTTTTGGAAAATTCTGACCTGACCTGTTTTTGAGTTAATTTTGGGACACCGGTTTTTTTGTTTTTTGAAAAATTTAAAACAATCTTGAGGTTCTAGGTATTCCTGTTTGGAAAGAATTTGAAAGTGCTTTGGAGCCTCTAGTGTCATTACTTATTTAGATTAATTAAACTTTTCTCTTAGAGAATAGGTCATCTGCTAAAATCACTCTTTTCTTAACCGGTACTAGCCCCACCCACCCGCCCTCTCTTTTCCTAGAGGGTATCTCATTTGCGAAAATCACTCTTAGCAGGAACTAGCCTCGCCCACACTCTCTTTTCTTATAGAATATGTCATTCACCAAAATTGATCTTAGATTAGCAAGTACTATCCCCGCCCACCCGCCCTCTATATTCTTAGAGAGATCTCATTTGCCAAAATCAGTCTTAACAGGTACTAGCCCCACCCACCCGCCCTGTCTTTTCTTGGAGTGTATCTCATTTGCCAAAATCAGTTTTATCTTAGCAAGTACTAGCCCCACCCACCCCCTCTCTTTTCTTAAAGGGTATCTCATCTGCCAAAATCAGTCTTATCTTAGCAGCTACTAGCCCCGCCCACCCACCCGTTCTTTTCTTAGAGGGTATGTCATTTTCCAAAATCACTCTTATCCTAGCAAATACTTGCTAAGATAAAACTGATTTTGGCAAATGAGATATCAGATCAAATGTCGCCAAACGCCTTGTAAAATATGTTATAAACTAGCCCTAATTTTTTTTTTTTTTAATTTTTCGATTTTCCGATTTTGATGTTTCGATTTCTTGATTTCCCGATTTTCCAATTTTTTGACAATTCATTTTTGGGATTCTTCAATTTCTCAATTTTTCACTTTCAATTTTTCGATTTTTTAAATTGTAGATTTTTCGATTTCACTTTTTTTTGGTTTTTTAATTTTTGGATTTACGATTTTTTGATGTTTCGATTTACCAATTCAATTTTATAACATTTCAGTTTTTCGATTTTTCGTATTTTCGATTTCTCGACCTCTAGATTTTGCGTTTTTTTGAAATTTTTAAATTTTTTAATGTTTTGATTTCCCAATTTTTCGGCAATTCAATTTTGAGATTCTTCAATTTCTCGACTTTTCATTTTTTTGATTCCTCAATTTTTCGATTCTTTAAAGTTTACATTACTATTTTTCCATTTTTCGTTTTCACTATTTTTGATGTTCGATTTTTAAAATTTTTCGACTTATCAATTTTTCGATTTCTCATTTATTCAACGTTTCAATTTTGAGAATTTTTCAATTACTCGACTTCATGATTTTTTGATGTTTCGGTTGAGCGATCCATCGATTTTTCGGTTTATCTATCTTTCGATTTTAAAAATTTTTTGATTTCTCAATATTCCGATGTTTCAGTTTTTTAATTTTTAGATTTCTTAATTTTTAGATGTTTCAGTTTCAGATTTTTTTAATTTCTCTTCGTATTTTTCGACTTTTCGATTTCTTGATTTTTTACTTTTTCGATTTTTCACTTCTTCGATTAAGATTTGATGTTTCGATGTCTCGATTTTTCAGTTTTTCAGTATTTTAATTTTTTGATTTTTTTATTATTCAATTTTCCAATTTTTCGACAATTCATTTTTGGGTTTCTTCAATTTCTCAATTTTTCGATTTTTTAAATTCCAGATTTTTCGATTTCACCTTATTTTGGTTTTTTAATTTTTCAATTTTTTTTAATTTTTGCCATACTATTTGTTCATTTTTTGATTTTACAATTTTTTGATGTTTCCATTTACCAATTTAATTTTTAAACATTTCAGTTTTTCGATTTTTAGTATTTTCGATTTCTCGGCCTCTCGATTTTTCGTTTTTTTAAATTTTTAAATTTTTCAATGTTTTGATTACCCAATTTTTCGACAATTCAATTTTGAGATTCTTCAATTTAACTCGACTTTTTATTATTTTGATTCCTCAATTTTTCGATTCTTTAAAGTTTACATTACAATTTTTCCATTTCTCGTTTTCACTATTTTTGATGTTCGATTTTATAATTTTTTATTTTTTTAATATTCCGAATGTTCGATATCTGGACCTCTGGATTTTCCGATTTTTAAAATTTCTCAACTCACCAATTTTTCGCTTTCTCATTTATTCAACATTTCAATTTTGAGAATTTTTCGATTTCTGGACTTTCTGATTTTTTGATGTTTCGGCTGACCGATCCGTCGATTTTTCGGTTTATCTATTTTTCGATTTTAAAAATTTTTGATTTCTCAATATTCCGATGTTTCAGTTTTCTAATTTTTAGATTTTTCTTCGACTTTTCGATGTCTTGATTTTTACTTTTTCAAATTTTCACTTCTTCGATTAAGATTTGATGTTTCGATTCCTCGATTTTTTAGTTTTTCAATATTTTAATTTTTTGATTTTTCTGTTTTTCAATTTTCCAATTTTTCGATATTTCATTTTTGGGATTCTTCAATTTCTCAATTTTTCGATTTTTTAAATTCTTGATTTTTCGATTTCACCTTTTTTTTTGGTGTTTTAATTTTTAGATTTTTTAAATTTTTGCAATACTATTTGCTTATTTTTTGATTTTACGATTTTTTGATGTTTCCATTTACCAATTTAATTTTATGACAATTCAGTTTTTCGATTTTTCGTATTTTCGATTTCTCCGCCTCTCGATTTTTCGTTTTTTAAAATTTTGAAATTTTTCAATGTTTTGATTTCCCAATTTTTCGACAATTCAATTTTGAGATTATTCAATTTCTCGACTTTTCATTTTTTTTTATTCTTCAATTTTTCGATTTTTTAAACTTTCCATTACTATTTTTCCATTTTTCGTTTTTACTATTTTTGATATTCGATTTTTAAAATTTGTCGACTTTTCAATTTTTCGATTTCTCATTTATTAAACATTTTAATTTTGAAAATTTTTCAATTTCTGGACTTTTTTTGATGTTTCGGTTGACCGATCTTCGATTTTTCGGTTTATCTATTTTTCGATTTTAAAAATTTTTTGATTTCTGAATATTCCCATATGCTTCAGTTTTTTAATTTTTGGATTTCTTAATTTCTAGATGTTTCAATTTTGGGATTCTTAAATTTTGCTTCGATTTTTCGACTTTTCGATTGCTTGATTTTTTACTTTTTCGATTTTTCACTTCTTCGATTAAGATTTGATGTTTCGATTTCTCGATTTTTCAGTTTTTCAATATTTTAATTTTTCGATTTTTCTATTTTTCAATTTTTCGAATTTTTAAATTTTGGATTTTTCACTTTTTGATTTCTCGTTTTTTAGAGGGTATGTCATTTGCAAAAATGAGTCTTATCCTAGCAAGTAGCTGCTAAGATAAAACTGATTTTGGCTAATAAGATACCTCCTAAGAAAAGAGAGGGCGGGTGGGCGGGGTTAGTACCTGCTAAAATAGGATCGATTTTAGCAAATAACATACCCTCCAAGAAGAGAGGGGAAGCTGCTAAAATCAGTTATTTTTTCAAAGTCTGCTTACATTATTTTATGAAAAAATAAATAAAAGTACGCACTTTGTTGTGGAATCAACTAAATCAAATTTTAATATACAGAGTGTTTAAAAAGATTCTAAAACTTTACAGTTCTCATAGATAGGCATTTCAGTTTTTTCAAATGGAACAGCCTGCATTTTTGTGTCAATGTATCTCTTGAAAAAGTAAAAAATCGCTGTAACCATCGACTGTAAATATAGAAAATACTCACCAAAAAAGAAAGAAGACAAAAGTAGAAATATGATGCATTTATAAGATATCGGGTGTGCTATTTGACAAAAAACTGAAATATCGATATTTGAAAATTGTAATAATTAAAAAAAATACAAATATCAAACAAAGCTGAAGATCAAAATTTACGGTATTTTGATCGCCATACCACTAAAATGATTTTCAACTATACATAGTGTTGTGTTTTTAAGGCATAACACACGTGTTTTTTTTAATGGAAAACCCTGTATCTTTTTATGTTATGTATTCTCATTGACTTCTTTTATTTGCCTTTATGATCACAGTTTATTTTCGAAATTTCGATGAGACATTGCCACGTTATTCCAATTTTATTTAAATTTTTTAATAAAAATACTCGCAAAAAATTCCAACAGGGTTATTTTTAAAATCTATGTCACAGTATCTTCTGGAGATAAATTAAGGTAAGCGCTTTGTTGTGGTATAAATAAAATTGAGTGTTAATATATAAAGTGTTTAAAAAATAAATTACAAAAATTTGGTTTAAAAATTCAAGAATATTGGAACAAGGTGGCGACATGGAAACGGAATTTCAAAAACAAAATATGGAAAAATATATAGGAGTTCTATTTAAAAAAAAAACTAAGTTGTGTACTATGCCCCAAAAACTGTCTATCAAAATTGTTGTCATAAAAATATGTTTTGGACGATGTCTGGCATCTTAAGTATGTTTGTTTCAAACAAATCAAGTTCACGCCTTTTAAAAATGTAAAAATATGTATCTCTTCGCAACAAATTAAACTACACCACAAAAAATGGGCCAACAACATTTTTCAATGTGAAAATATAAAACAATAAGCACAGTTTTATTTAAATTTTGGTGCTTTATTTTTCAAATACCACATACACAAATTTCCACCTGTCCAATTTACGTCAAAATATGCCACGAAACACCAAATTTTTTATTTGTTGAACCCGAAAACTAAATTCCGCTTAATTTGCATTTAACCAACACCAACGAATTCCGTATTCCGGCGTTTTCTTTTGTTTCCGTCAATCCAGACGTTCCTACCTTGAAACAAACACGTAGTCTCTAGTTGCATATTCTATTAAGTCATCAGACCCTCTGTTCTCGGGTTTACCTAGCACGTGAAACATGCAACTTTTCTCAGGGCGTCGACGTGTAGGGAGACCAAAACTTAATTCCTGGGAAATAAGAACAGCCATAAATCCAACTCCAGACTTGCATGTCGCTAATTGGTTCGGGTCGATTATATTCCGAATATAAATTTCCTAAAATATGGATGTTAGGAACTATTTTGATTGAAAGTTAAACTTAGCGAACGAGGATATATCGTTTGAATTAAAGTGACGTTAATTAAATAGGTGGCTGAAATGAATTCAGAAAACTGGAAGACGGGGAATGTTCTAGAAAATAAACAAAGCCACTTGGAAATTATGATAAATTCGACCAAAACCGAAGTCCAGAACGGGATGCGGGCTCTGATGCTCCTTATCGGGAAAATTTCAAACAAAGAACACTTACCACAAGCAGGTAGAGTATACAAATTCTGGAAATAGCAAAATAAGGGAGTTCAATTTCAGATGAGTCCCAAATTGAAAAACTGAAAGAAAATATCGACGCCAACTTCGAGAAGGTTTTCTCCGCCCAAAACCTCTTCATGGATAGCTGCTACCGCCTCCAAATGGACGAGTCGCAAATCGAGTCCAAAATTAGCGACATTTTGGAGAAGCTGATCGAAACCTTTGACAAAAAGTACGTTTTAATTCCCGAGCACTTTGTTTCCTGGACGTTTCATAACCCCTAGAATGTTAAAACACGGGTCTCTAGTTTCCGTCTGTCTGTCTGCCGTCTGTTCGCGTCTTCTAAATCTACCGAACAGATTGTTGTCAAATTTTTGACCAAAATTTTTAAGTTTTTAGCTTGGGCATCCAGATTTTATAGTTATCCGTTTATTCTCTCCCAAAAAAAGTTGATGACGTTTAAATCTAAAATATGCGCAATATTAAAAATCTAAACTTGTGGTTTATCAACGCATTCATATTTTTTTGAACTGCTTATACAAGGTGATTTTAAAAAATTTATTGAAGGTTATTTTGACAGAACTTCCCTCGAGAAAATAAAAAAAAAATTAAAAATCGAAAAACTGAAAAAATCGAAAAATTGAAAAATTCCAAAACTGAAATGACGACAAGTTGGGAAATCGAACAATTGAAACATTGGAATATCGAAAAATCGAAAAGCCGAAAAGTCGAAAAATCGATATACGAATCCTCAAAAGATAGATCGAGAAATCGGGAAATATAAAAATCTAGAAGTCGAAAAAACGAAAAATTGAGCAATCGAAATGGCTCAAAATTGAAAAAAACAATGAATCGAAACATCGAAATCTCGATACATACATCGAAAATTTGAAAAATAGTTGAAAAATAGAAAATTGAGAAGACGAAAACTTGAAAAACCGAGAAATCGAAAAATCCAAAATTTAAAAAAGCGAAAAATTGAAAAATCGGAAAATTGTGAAGAATCGAAAAAACTGAAAAAGCGAAACATTGAAAAAATCCAAAACTGAAATGACGAAAAGTTGGGAAATCGAAAAATTGAAACATTGGAACATCGAAAAATTGGAAATTCGAAAAATCGAAAAGCCGAAAAGTCGAAAAATACGACTCCTCAAATGATCGATCGAGAAATCGGGAAATAGAAAAATCTAGAAGTCGAAAAACGAAAAATTGAGCAATCTAATTGGCTCAAAATTAAAAAAACGATAAAGCGAAAAGTCAAAAACTGAAAAATCCTGAAATTGAAAGAACAAGAAATTGAAACCTGAAAAGTAGAAAAATTAAAAATTGAAAATATCACAAAATTAAGAAATCCAGAAATTGAAAACCCGAAAAATCGAAAACTCGAAAAATATTTCATTCCAAAATGCGGGATGTCAAAAAATCGAATCAAAAATTCGTAACATCGAAAAACACAAAAATCAATAAACTGAAAAATCAAAACTTTTAAAATTCGAAAAAATGAAAAATAAAAATATCGAAGATACTGAAAAATCGAAAACCCGAAAAACCCAAAAATCGAAAGCCGAGAGACCCAAAAATCCGAAATTTAAAAAATCGAATATTTGAAAAATCGGAAAATTGAATAAAAAATTTGAAAAATCGAGAAATTGAAGCATTTCAAAACTGAAATAACGAAAATTTGGAAAATCTAAAAAACACTGATAAATCGGAATATCGAAAAATTGGCAAATAGAAAAATCGAAAATCCGAAAAGACGAAAAATGGAAAAGCGAGAAACCCAAAATTCGAAACATCGAAAAATTGAAAAACTCAAAAAACGAGAAACGAAACATCAAAAGATCAAGAAATCGAAAAGCCGAAAAACTGAAGAATGAAAAATTGAAAATCCCAAAACTGAAACATCGGAAAATTAAGAAATCGAAAAATTAAAAAATCAAAAACCTGAAAAAGCGAAGAACTGAAAAACTGAAACGTCGAAAAACCAAAAAATCGATTAATCCAGAAATTGAAAAATCGATAATTTAGAAACATCAAATATAAACCTTAAACATCGTAAACTTGAGAAATAAAAAAATGAAAAACAGAGAAATCGAAAATTTCAAGAATTTTTAAATTGAGGATTCGAAAAATTGAAAAATCCCAACATTGAAATATCGAAAAATCAAAAAATGGAAGAAAAATTGAAGAATTGAAAATCTTCAAACTAGAACATCGAAAAATTGAGAAAGCGAAAAATTGAAATATCAAGAAATCGAAAAGTCAAATATCGAAGTCTAAAATCGAAGTCAAAAAATAAAAAATTCAAAAAACCGAAGAATTGAATAACTGAAAAGTCGAAAAACCAAAAAGTCAATTCATCGAAAAAAATGAGAATTCGAAAAATCGAAAATTTGGAAACGTCAAAAACTCAAAAATCAAAAAATTTAAAAACCGTAAAACCGAAACATCGGAAAATTGAGAGATCAAAAAATGAAGAAATCGAAAATTCCAAAATTTGAAAAATCGGTAAATTGAAGAATAGAAAAATTGAAAAATCCCAACACTGAAATACCGAAAACTTGAGTAATCGAAAAATTGAAAAATTGAAGAATTAAAGAACAAAAAAACTGAAAAACCCCCAAACTGAATTATCGAAAAATTGAAAAATCGAAAAGTTGAAGAATCGAAGAAACTAAAAGAGCGAGACACTAAAAAATTTCAAAACTGAAATGAGGAAAAATTTGGAAATCCAAAAGTTGAAAATTCGAAACATCGAAAAATTCTAAAATCGAAAAAGCGAAAAACCCAGAAATTGAAAAATCGTACCATCGAAAAATTGAAAAACCGAAATATAGAGAAAGGAAACATCAAAACATTGAGGAATCTAATAGTCGAATATTTAAAAAATCAAAAATTGAAAAATCGGAACCGCTCAAAATCGAAAAGCTAAAAAGTGAAAAATCCAGAAATTAAAAAAACAAGAAATTGAAACCTGAAAAGTCGAAAAATCGAAAAATTAAAATATCACAAAATTGAGAAATCCAGAAATTGAAAACCCGAAAAATCGAAAATTCGAAAAATACTTTATTCGAAAAACCAATATGTCAAGAAAGCAAATCAAAAATTTGTAACATCGATAAACACAAAAATCAATAAACTGAAAAATCCAAAACCCGAAAAACCCAAAAATCGAAAATCCGAGAAAAACAAAAATCCAAAATTTCAAAAATCGAATATTTGAAAAATTGGAAAATTCAATAAAAAATTGAAAAATCGAGAAAATAAAGAATTCCAAAACTGAAATAACGAAAATTTGTAAAATTGAAAAATTGATAAATCGGAACATGGAAAAATTGACAAATGGAAAAATCGAAAAGCCGAAAAGCCGAAAAATGGAAAAGCAAGAAATCCAAAATTAGAAAAAACAAGAAACGAAAATGAGTGAAAAATTGGAAAATCGCAAAATTGAGATATCGAAAAAGTGAAACATCGAAAAATCGAAAAATTGAAATACCAAGAAATCGAAGAACTAAAAACTGAAAAGTCGAAAAACCAAAAAATCGATTAATCCAGAAAAAAAAAACGACAAATCGAAAAATCGATAATTTAGAAACATCAAAAATAAAACCTAAACATCGGAAAATTGAGAAATAAAGCAATGAAAAATCGAGAAATCGAAAATTTCAAGAATGGATAAATTGAAGATTCCAAAAATTGAAAAATCCCAAAACTGATATCGAAAAATTGAGTAACCGAAAACCTGAAAATCGTGAAATTGAAACATTGAAAAATTAAAGAATAAAAAAACTGAAAAACCCCCAAACGGAAATATCGAAAAATCCAAGAATCGAAGAATTGAAAAATTGAAAAATCTCCAAACTAAAACATCGAAAAATAAAGTAAACGAAAAATTGAAATATCAAAAAATCGAAAAGTCGAAAAATGAAAAAGCCGAAAATCTCAAAAATCGAGAAATTGAAAAATTCCAAAACTGAAATGACAATTTGGAAAATCGAAAAATTGAGGAATTGGAACATCGAAAAATGGACAAAGAGAAAAATCGAAAAGCCGAAAAGTCGAAAAATCGAAAAGCGAGAAATCCAAAATTCGAAACATCGAAAAACTGAAAAACTCTTAAACGAGAAACGAAACATCAAAAGATCGAAAAGTCGAAAAATGAAAAAGCCGAAAAACTGAAAAATTAAAAATTGAAAAATCCCAAAACTGAAACATCGGAAAATTAAGAAATCGAAAAATCGGAAATTCAAGAAATCGAAAAAGTGAAAACTCAAAAACCTGAAAAATCGAAGAACTGAAAAACTGAAAAGTCGAAAAACCAAAAAATCAATTAATCCAGAAAATGAGAAATCGAAAAATCGATAATGTAGAAAATCAAAAATAAAACTAAAACATCGAAAAATTGAAAAAACGAAAAATTGAAATATCAAGAAATCGAAAATTAAGTCTAAAATAGAAGTCAAAAAGTCGAAAATTTAAGAAATCGAAGAATTGAAAAATCAAAAACTGGAAAATCCCAAAATTGAAGAATTGAATAACCGGAAAGTCGAAAAACCAACAAACCGATTCATCGAAAAAATGAGAAATCGGAAAATCGAAAATTTAGAAAGGCGAAAAATTGAAGAATTGAAAAAACAAAAAATTAAATAATCGTAAAACTGAAACTTCGGGAAATTGAGAGATCAAAAAATGGAAAAATCGAGAAATCGAAAATTTGAAAAATCGATAAATTGAAGAGTAGAAAAATTGAAAAATCCCAACACTCAAATATCGAAAACTTCAGTAGTCGAAAAGTCGAAAAATTGAACAGTTGAAAAATCTCAAAACTAAAACATCGAAAAATTGAGAAATTGAAAAATTGAAATATTAAGGAATCGAAAAATTGAAATACCAAGAAAGCGAAAAGTCAAAAAAAAGAAATATCAAGAAAGCGAAAAGTCGAAAAATCGACGTCTAAAATCGAAGTAAAAAAATCGAAATTTTAAGAAATCGGAGAATTAAAAAATCAAGAACCTGGAAATTCGAAAAACGGAGAAATTTACAACTGAAAAGTCGAAAAACCAAAAACCGATTAATCGAAAAAGTGAAAAATTGAAAAATCGAAAAATTTGAAAAATCGTAAAACTGAAACATCGGAAAAAAATCAAGAAGTCGAAAATTTCAAAAATTGATAAATTGAAGAATCGAAAAACTGGAAAACCCCAACATTGAACCATCGAAACTTTGAATAATCGAAAAATTTGAAAATCGAGTGTTATTATTATTATTATTATGTATGCTGCTCAACGGGTGCAAGACCCAATTACAGACCAACGAAAGAAATAGGAATAATGTGTAAAGTTAACAAAAAAGTAGCTAAAATTACTACTTTATCCCATAGGGAACGTTAACAAAAATATCGAAAGCATTCTGACTCAGATTAAACTTATTGGTCATTTGATATACAGGCAAGTACCTTTCTACATTTATACACGTTGTAGATAGACAGAAAATCGAAAAATTATTATATATTTATCTACAATTTTAATTTTTTTTCAAAAATCTCGATATCGTGAATAATTAAAGTAAATTCAACACGGATTCATAAAGCACAAGTTCAGAAGTATGTTGCTTTTTAACATCTCAATATCATTTATTCGATAAAATTGTAAGATGACGTCATCAATTCCTGGGGAGAGGGGCATGAACGGATACATGTTTATTAACCCTTTGCCATGCTTCCGATAACTTTAAAATTAAAAATTTGGATCCCTACAGTAAAAACTGAACACGGATTCATAAATTACAAATTCAGTTAATTTTTTTAAATTTAAATAACATTTAAGATGAGATAAATTTTGGTTAGCATTTTACTATCTTTAAAAAATCAGACTGTATTTATTCGACTGTAGCTACTTTAGGGACGAGGGAAGTTCTGGCGGAATAACCTTGGACCACCTTTTTTCGTATATTTATTAGAGAACTAGATTAAAAATTGCTATAGAACTCTCGAAAACCTCGACTTCACCTCACACCCTCATTCCAGGACCGCCGTCGAAACCAAAGACATCAAAAACCTGGAAAAAATCATCAAAAGCCACGACGCCCACATAACCCGCAGCCTGTACCAAACCAGCACAAACGTGGTCACGATTTTCGGAAAAATGAGCGAAGATCACCGCCAGTTCGAGACCGACTTGAAGCAGGTCAGTGACCATCTAAATGCCCTATTTTCCTTAATCCAAGACACTCTGGCTGATGAAAATGGATCGTTATCGTCGAAAAATGTAAATGTGAGTACCGCAATAGAATTTACGACTTTCTTGCTCCAACTATTTTTTCAGTTATTACTGAACGACTTGAAGGAAATGGAAAAGAAAATTACATCGCTCTATAAACAAGGCGATGTTCTCACGAACTCGGTTGGGGAAATAAAAGGAGTAGTGGAAGCTCTGCATCGCGGAAATTCCAGTCGACTCATCGATGAATATTTCAAAAACATCTCGCAAGTAATTGCCGGAATGGAAGCTAAAATAAATACCGTTTATCTTTATTATTATTTTAACCGGAGCCGAATCGACGCGATTAATCAGAATTTAGCGCAGGAATTGCGGCAGGTTTTGGATGTCGTTAGCGTTAATGATTCGCGCGGAATATCGGAAACAAATGTGACCGGGGAGTCCAGGGTTGGGAGTCTGGAGGAAAAAATTAGCGAAATCTTTGGACAACCGGAGGCTAACGATACGAGAGGAAGCGGGGCTCCGGATAATTGCGCGCCGAATTTGTTGAATGCTATTGACGTGCGGAGCGGTTCCGATTGCGAGAATAATACTCCTGAAGGAATTAATCGGGACGAAATGACGACGGAAACTCTGGAAAGCACGGTAAAGACTTCTGGAAGTGACGACTATCAGGAGTTGGATACGACTTGGCAACAAGTTTTAGAATAAGTTTTGTGTTACTGTGTACTTTTTGTATTAAATTCGGTTGATAATAAAGTTGTTATGACTAAAACTTACCTCGATCTTGGCGCTGTTTTGGAAAATCGTTTGTGCCTTGTGTGTGAGTTGTGCGAAGCATGAGCTAAGGCTGCATAGTTTCTGGCGAACGTTGAACACCACATCTGGTTCTTCAGAGTCGAGTTCTCCTGAAAAAACGCAATTTCACATAACACCAATCACAAAAAAGTTCCAGTTTGCTACTCGCATTTTTAGTACGGAAAAATTGACGTTTCAGTTATGAAACTTTGTGTTTTATACGAAAGCTAATTTCTATTGTACATATAAACAACAATTACAATAACAGTAATTTTTTTCTCCGTTTCGTAGGATTAAAAAAAAATGTTAATCCGATTCTGTTCTATAAATTGATACATACCCCTCTACAGTTTATTTATTTCTTTTTTTTAACAATTGTCAGTGTCAAAATTCCCTAAAAGGCCAGACTAAACCACACTAAAACCTTTCGTTTTGGAACTACTGTACCGTAAAATCTCTCTAGATCAGGTTTGTGGTTATGTCGGTCAATGTCAATATGACATTTTATGTTGCCAACCTAACACCATCAAAATAATTAATGGCTCATACCAACATGACAACCCATTGACAATTGTTTAAAAAAAATTACTATATCTCACCAACTTCACGGTTGGTAATACAGATTCCTATCTGCCAAATACCCAGTTATTACAAGCTCAACGAACCTAGCTAAGAAAAATCCATTAAAGCATAACCAACTAAACACTAGAGATGTTCAAAATTTCTATCTTGTGCATATAACTAAACTCGTAATATTTCCAAATTTTGATAAGTTTTTGTAAAAGTTAGTACCTACTTGCTAAGATGATAAAACTGATTTTGGCAAATCAGATACTCTCTAAGAGAGGGTGGGTGGGCGGGGCTAGTACCTGCTAAGATAAGACTGATTTCGACAAATGACATACCCTCTAAGAAAAGAGAGGGTGGGTGGCGGGACAAATACCTGCTGAGACTCTGACCTGAACTGTTTTTGCGTCAATTTTGAAATTCAAAAATCGAAAAGCCGAAAAACTGAAGAATGAAAATTGAAAAATCCCAAAAATTGAAATATCGAAAAATTGAAACATCGAAAAATTGAAACATCGAAAAATCGAAAAATTAAAAAATCTCAAAACTAGAACATCGGAAAATTAGGAAATCGAAAAATTGAAATATGAAGAAAACGAAAAGTCGAAAAATCGAAATCGAAAAATCGGAAGTTCAAGAAATCGAAAAAGTGAAAAATCAAAAACCTGAAAAATCGAAGAACTGAAAAACTGAAAAATCGAAAAACTACAAAATGCAGAAAATGAGAAATCGAAAAATGCGTAATTTAGAAACTTCAAAAATAAAACTTAAACATCGCAAAATTGACAAATAAAAAAATGAAAAATCGAGAAATCGAAAATTTCAAGAACTAATAAATTGAAGATTCGAAAAATTGAAAAATCCCAGCACTGATATCGAAAAATTGAGTAATAAAAAAACTGAAAATCGAGAAGTTGAAAAATTGAGAAATTAAAGAATAAAAAACTGAAAAACCCCCAAACTGAAATATTGAAGAATCAAAGAATCGAAGAAAAGTTGAAGAATTGAAATATCAAGGAATCGAAAAGTCAAAAATCGAAGTCTAAATTCCAAGTCAAAAAATCGAAGAATTGAAAAATCAAAAACTGGAAAATCACAAGATTGAAGAATTGAATAACTGAAAAGTCGAAAAACCAAAAAATCGATTCATCGAAAAAATGAGAATTCAAAAAATCGGAAATTTAGAAACGTCAAAAATTGAAAAATTGAAAAATCATAAAATTAAACAACATCGGAAAATTGAAACATCAAAAAATGAAAAAAACAAGAAATCAAAAATTTCAAAAATCGATAAATTCAACAATCGAAAAACTGAAAAATCCCAACACTGAACTGGCCAAAAATTGAATAATCGAAAAATTGAAAATCAAGAAATTAAAAATCGAAAAATTGGAAAATCGAGTGTTATTATTATTATTATGTGTGTTGCTCAACGGGTGCAAGACCCAACGAAAGAAATAAGAATAATGTGTAAGGTTAACAAAACAGTAGCTAAAATTACTACTTTATCCCATAGGGAACCGTTAACAAAAATATCAAAATCTTTCTGATTTACATTACAATTATTGGTCCTATGATATACAGGGTGGGTGGGCGGGGCAAATACCTGCTAAGATAATATATTCAAAAAATCAAAAATTGCAAAATTGGAATCGCTCAAAATCGAAAAATCGAAAAGTTAAAAACTAAAAATCCAGAAATTAAAAACCTGAAAAATCGAGAAACCTAAAAATCGAAAACTCGAAAAATACTTAATTCGAAAAAACGAGCTGTCAAGAAATCGAATTAAAAATTCGTAACATCGAAAAACACAAAAATTAATAAACTGAAAAATCAAAACCTTAAAAATTCGAAAAAATGATAAATAAAAATATCGAATATACTGGAAAATCGAAAACCCGAAAAGCCAAAAAATCGAAAAGCCGAGAAACCCAAAAATCCAAAATTTAAAAAATCGAGTATTTGAAAAATTGGAAAATTGAATAAAAGCGCTGAAAAATCGAGAAATTGGAAAACTCCAAAACTGAAATGACGAAAATTTGGAAAATCTAGAAACACTGATAAATCGGAACATCGAAAAATTGGCAAATAGAAAAATCGAAAAGCCGAAAAGTCGAAAAATGGAATAGCGAGAAATCCAAAATTCGAAACATCGAAAAATTGAAAAACTCAAAAAACGAGAAACGAAACTGAGTGAAAAATTGAAAAATCCCAAAACAGAATAATCGAAAAATTGAAATATCTGGAAATCGAAAAGTCGAAAACCCGAAGAACTGAAAAACTGAAAAGTCGTAAAATCACAAAATCGATTAATCCAGAAAATGCGAAATCGAAAAATCGATAATTTAGAAACATCAAAAATAAAACTTAAGCATCGGAAAATTTACAAATAAAAAAATGAACAAAATCGAGAAATCGAAAATTTCAAGAACTAATAAATTGAAGATTCGAAAAATTGAAAAATCCCAGCACTTATATCGAAAAATTGAGTAATCGAAAAACTGAAAATCGAGAAGTTGAAAAATTGAGAAATTAAAGAATAAAAAACTGAAAAACCCCCAAACTGAAATAATGAAGAATCAAAGAATCCAAGAAAAATTGAAGAATTGAAGAAGAATAGAATAATCCCCAAACTGAAATATCAAAAATTAAAAAATCGAAAAATTGGAGAATTGAAAGATCTCAAAACTAAACCATCGAAAAGTTGAGAAAACGAATAATTGAAATGTCAAGAAATCGAGAAGTCAAAAATCGAAGTCTAAAATCGAAGTAAAAAAATCGAAAATTTAAGAAATCGAAGAATTGAAAAATCAAATACTGGAAAATCACAAAATTGAAGAATTGAATAACTGAAAAGTCGAAAAACCAAAAAATCGATTCATCGAAAAAATGAGAATTCGAAAAATCGAAAATTTAGAAACGTCAAAAGTGGAAAAATTGAAAAATCAAAAAATTAAGTAATCGTAAAACTGGAACATCGGAAAATTGAGACATCAAAAAATGAAAAAATTCGGAAATCGAAAATTTGAAAAATCGATAAACTGAAGAATCCCAACATGAAATATCGAAAATTTGAGTAATCGAAAAACTGAAAATCTAAAAATTTAAAAATTAAAGAACAAAAAACTGAAAAACTCCTAAACTGAAACGTCGAAAAATTGAAGAATCGAAGAAAAATTTGAAGAATTGAAAAATCTCAAAACTGAAACAACGAAAAATTGGGAAATTGAAACATCAAGAAATCGAAGTCTAAAATCCAAGTCAAAAAATCGAAAATTTAAGAAATCGAAGAATTAAAAAATCAAAAAACTGAAAATCCGAAAAATTGAGGAATTGACAACTGAAAAGTCGAAAAATCAAGAACGGATTAATCAAAAAAACGAGAATTTGAATAATCGCAAATTTAGAAACGTCAAAAAGTGAAAAACCCCCAAACTAAAATATTGAAGAATCAAAGAAAAAATTGAAGAATAGAAAAATCCCCAAACTGAAATTTCAAAAATTAAAAAATCGAAAAATTGGTGAATTGAAAAATCTCAAAACTAAAACATCGAAAAGTTCAGAAAACGAAAAATTGAAATATCAAGAAATGCAGAAGTCAAAAATCGAAGTCTAGAATCGAATTAAAAAAATCGAAAATTTAAGAAATCGAAGAATTGGAAAATCAAATACTGGAAAATCACAAAATCGGAAATTCAAAAAATGGAAAAAGAGAAAAATAAAAAACCTGAAAAATCGAAGAACTGAAAAACTGAAAAGTTGGAAAACCACAAAATCGATTAATCCAGAAAACGAGAAATTGAGTAATCCAAAAACTGAAAATCGAGAAGTTGAAAAATTGAAAAATTAAAGAATAAAAAAACTGAAAAACCCCCAAACTGAAATATTGAAGAATGAAAGAATCGAAGAAAAATTGAAAAAATGAAATATCAAGAAATCGAAAAGTGAAAAGTCGAAGTCTAAAATCGAAAGACAAAAAATCGAAGAATTGAAAAATCAAAAACTGGAAAATCACAAAATTGAGAGATCACAAAATGAAAATATGGAGAAATCGAAAATTAGCAAAATCTATAAATTGAAGAATAGAAAAATCCCCAAAATGAAATATCACAAATTAAAAAGTCGAAAAATTGAAGAATCGAAGAAAAATTGAAGAAGTGAAAAACTGAAACATCAAGAGATGAAAAAATTGAAATATCAAGATATCAAAAAGTCAAAAAATCGAAGTCTAAAATCGAAGTGAAACGAATAAAGCGCAAATTTAAGAAATCGAAGAATTAAAAAATCAAAAAACTGGAAATTCGAAAAACTGACGAATTGTCAACTGAAAAGTCGAAAAACCAAAATCCGATTAATCGAAAAAATGTGAATTCGAATAATCGCTAATTTAGAAACGTCAAAAGTGAAAAATTGAAAAATCGAAAAATTGAAACATCGGAAAATTGAGAAATCAAGAAATGAAAAAATCAAGAAGTCGAGAATTTCAAAAATCAATAAATTGAAGAATCGAAAAACTGAAAAATCCCAACACTGAACTAGCCAAAAATTGAATCATCGAAAAATTGAAAATCGAGAAATTAAAAATCGAAAAATTGGAAAATCGAGTGTTATTAATATTATTATGATTAATGTTATTATTATATATATTGCTCAACGGGTGCAAGACCCAATTACAGACCAACGAAAAAAATAGGAATAATCAATTTTGTGATGACTTTACCTCAATATTTTACATAATACGTAATTGTTATTTATTTTTTAAGAAATAATGTATCCCTTCCTACACTTGTGGTTTATGATTTCGCCTTGAATTTTTCCCTTAGGCACCCAATTATATAATAACATTACTAACATCTTATACCACTATAAAAGATTCGCAGGTGTGATCTCTTCATGCGCCACTTTTTTTTACACACTGGAACTGCTATTATCTAAATATTTTACTTCTCAAACGTAAACTAGGGAAGTATTGTAATCGAATCCATCTGAATACTTTCATGTTTTCTCGAATAACATGACCTTTAGGGTACGAAAAAATGTCTATTAGACAGATAATCTGCGAAACTACTGGACCGATTGTTGTTAAATTTATATGTACATTCGAAATATCGTGAAGATGGTAAAACTCAAACCAAAATCTTGCTAATCACCCACACGAATAATAAGATGACGTCATCTCAAAAATTTACGTTAGCAAACTGTTAATCAAATTTTGACGACTATTCTTTATATTTTATAGAATTACATCGTACAGGTGTGGTTTATGAATCCGCGCTGAGTTTTTATCTTAAACGTCCAGATTTTCGAGAAAAAAGAATCAAAATTTTACAATTTAACTTTGAAATTAACGCAAACGTTTTAAGGTTATCGTCAAATTTTATTCGTTAATGCTCCCCAAAAAATAAATACGTCATTTTAGAATAATTTTTTCTTCAATTTTATAGAATTACATACAATTCTGCATGTGTGATTAATGAATCCATGTCAAGTTTTTACCCTAGACATCCAGATTTTTGGGAAAATAATTAAAATTTTATGACAATATTTTACAAATTAACTTTGGAATTGCAAATCTGAATGCTCTGAAATCTTGCAAACGTTTTAAGGTTACATGAAGCATGAAAAATCGTCAAAATAGTTTCGCCAACATTCTTTATTATAATATTCTAAAACGGATGCGTATTTATTTTTCTGGTTAAATATACGCGTTAATGTATAGAACTTATTTCAACGGTTTATGTAATCATTTTCAGACGCCACTCTCAAAATTTAATACAACACTGGAGAAACTTCATAAATTTTGATCGGAATTTTTATCGCGAAAAAACAAAAAGTGAAACGCAATTTCGCGTTAAAATTGACCTACAGAGATTCCTAAATTAATTATTATGTCATTGACCTACAGAACGAAATGTGCATATTTTGGGATAATAAATATGTTAACGTTCTGATTATGTTGATTTTACGCTAATTACTGGAATTTCTACTACTGTAAATATTATTATTTTGTCATGTGACCGATGGGATCAACGACTTGAAAATAAACACCGAGTTTGATTGACACGTACCTACCGTATTATGTATAATTTATTTCTTGTGTGAAACATTTTTTAAACACAATTTCAGCAAGGAATCTCGAAAAATTCAATAGAAAAATTGCGTCGATAACACCTAGACCTTTTGTAGTAGGCACAACTGAAATCGATTGAGACATAAAAATAATTTTTATTATCTGTAATAAAAAGTACTGCGAAGTTGAAGAAAGCCCCGACGGAAAAAGAAAAATCGAGTATTAGGAAAAAACAAACACACAAAGCAACGTCCCTAGTTGGCAGATTTACGCCAATCAAAAAATACCTCAGGGAATAAATAATCTATAACGAAACGAAAAAACACCACCTACAAGAGTTGGCGAAGCTAAAACTAAGATCTGGAACACGATAGGAACGCAATGTCCAATAATTCTAAACAATCATAAAGCGTAAAATCGTGTAATACAGCACGAAATACGCCAAACCAGCGTGAACGGAAATTCTGTAGAGTGTAGACTAACTAATCCAGAAACCAATTTACAACGATGTTAATTTTTAACTCGAAAATTAACGCGAGTATGGTAAAATTCTGAAGACAACATAAAATAAAATTTAAATGACCATTACTATGCAAAATTTTACGCTGACGTCATCACATTGTTAGCGGGGATGATCAGACAAAATTTGGTTAGCGCTTCACCATCTAAACGATATTCCTAACATTACATTAAAATTTGGCAACAAGTGGTCCAATAATCTCGGAGATTATCTAAAAACAAGATTTATGGATTCAAGAGACAATTCTTTGACACGCGTTTTCAATAAAGATTTCTAATAAATCCACGCAATATATAAATTTTCAACAACATTCGCGTAATCAAATCCATAACATAAAAGCATGAACAATATCGCATTCCAGGGTGTACTTTTCAATAAAGAATGGCAGTAAAAACCCCTTAATGGACGGACATTCTCCTTCTGCAGACGCTTTTTCTTCTACTACTCTATCCCGCTTAATTTTTTATACAGCTAAATGAAATTCTATTAAACAAATGCCTTTTTAAACGCCGACAGTCAACGATTTTTTGCTCATTTACTTCTTCCCTCAAATGGGATTTTTTTAAGGATAAAAACGTAAATAAAGACAGCAAAATCTTATTTGAAGCTCCAAAAATTACTACACATTTCTTGCCACTTTTGTGCTGATTAACATTTTTTTTACTTTTACACTTGAAGATGGAAATATCCGAAACTAGTGACTCACAATTCAAGTGTAAAGAAAAGCAAAAATAATGTAATCGACCTATGTAAACGGACTTAAAAAACTGGTCTAGCGTTATTTAGACAGAACTTCCCTCGCCCCTGGAGCATAACTCAACAAATCTAGGTCTTTCGAAAAAAAGTTGATTTTGTGTTTTTTTAGTCGTAAATTAAAACACAAAATATTTGGACTGTTAAGGTAGAGGTAAAGAATTATGGTATGCGCATGTTTTATGATGACGTCATCAATTTGAAATTTTTTTAAATATCCAAAAATTTTCCGAAAAATTCTTTAAAATGGATTTAATCGAGCGGAAGAGAATGCTATCCCATAGAGAATGTTCAGGAGATGACTAATTTGTGATAGCTGTTGCTGTATGTTCTGAAATAAACTAGAAATTCTGATTGAAAATTTCTAAAATGTCTGAAATAAACGTTTGATTAAGTGGAAATTGGTGCCAACATATTGAGAATTGTTGGTAAATCACAAAATTTGAACTCGCTGTGGCGATACTTTCTAAAATAATCAAGTAATTCGAATTCAAAATTTCCAAAATTTTCCGAAAAATTCGTTCAAATGATTGACATCAAACGGAAAAGTATGCTATCCTGTAGACAATTTTCAGTAGAATACGAATTTGAGATCGATATTGTGGTAAGTTTTTAAAACAGACATAAAACCTGATTCAAAATTACAAATAATTTCTCAAAAATCACTAAAAAAACGTGCAACTAAGTAAGTCGAAATTGATGCCAACTTACTGTGAATTGTGAGAAAATTACAAATTTGAAATCGCTGTTACAACAAGAAATTCGGATTCAAAATGTCCCAAATTTTCACAATTTTTTTTTAAAATGGATTTAATCGGCCGGAAAATTTGTTATCACATAGGGAATTTTCAGCCAATGACCAATTTGAGATCGCTATTACAGTATGTCTTAAAATCAGCTAAAAATTCGGACTGAAAATTTCTAAAAATTTCTCTAAAATTTGTTTTTCTATATGCATGTAAGGAATTCCATGCAGACGGTCAAACAATAACCAAAATTTGTATGATCATCCCCACCAATACTGTAATCATGTCACTTTAAAGTTTCCCTTAGTCAACACTATTTCAATTTTATAAAATAATATACTCCTGTACTTGTAGTTTATGAATCCACCTCCATTTTATATGTATGTATGTACAGAATGAAAAATTTAAATTCAACGACCAACATTTATCATATAATAGAACATATTTTTTTAAGGACCAAGCTAAGACTTTCACAAGATTAAAAACAATTTATTGGAACGTCATGAATTTCTTAGAGGGGACGATTTTTTTATGCCATGAAGTTAAATATTATATTTCTGCTTGCAATAGTTAAAGGTGAAGTTAGCAACTTTTCGAATTTTTAAATTTTGGTTAGCATTACAGCGGAAAACTTAACTGTCTCTGAGCGAAAATCTGGACGGTTCGGGTAAAAATCAAGGCGGATTCATAAACCACAATACCTTGTTTTATAAAATATAAATATCATTTACTATGCAAAATTCTGACCTGACGTTATCAAAGTGTTGGCGGAGATGATAGATAAATTTTGGTTACAGATCATTTTAAAATACGAAGAATACGATTAGGCAAAAGGTACAGAGAATAATTTGGGAGGCACAATATTTTTAGTTCTATTACTATAGCAGCAATTTTCACATGACATGTCAACGACACAACACTAGATACATCAAAATTGACGTGACAACTGTACAATTTGAAAGAAAAATCGACAACAAAATCTTCATTCAGGTTAACAAATGATCCGCAGCATTTAATCAGAACCAAAACTAACGAACTATTGTAAAAAATTAATCCAAGAAAGGCAGCACAAAATTAATGATGAAAATGATTTCGGTTTACGCTAAACACGAAAAGACAGCGGGAAATCACTCAGTGAAGACCTGAAGCAATAAAACATATAAATAACCGCTAAAATTCCCAACCACAAGTAATTTGCATCAACAAATTTACGAAAATTTCGATTTATCAACTGCACATTACAGACGATATTTGGGTAAAAAATGCGGTCATTCGCAACGGAGAAGGTTCCAGTATTTAAAAATTACGCAAAAACGTTAAAATAATTACCAAATTAACTACCGGAGAAGAGAAATAAACAAAAACATGATGTCATGTGCCTTCATAGCGATAATAAATGATAGTACGGAAACAATTATTACAACAATATTACAAAACGTATCTTTACTCACCTATTGCTAAATCTAAATCTACAAAAGCCTTGTCGAATTCTTTTTCTAAGATATCTAACCACCTAAATCCGACACTAGCCATTTTTAACTACTGTCACTGTCACCATTTGTCAATTTTTGCTTGACGTTTGCGTGTTGCGTCCTCTTCCGCTAAAAAAAATCTGGGGATTTTTTAGCCGCACAGTTATCGAGCAACCCCCTCAGGAATTTTAATTCCGCTTGTAAAAATTCAACTCGAGTCCAAAACCTACACAGTTGTGACACTGTTGCGTAATTACCGTCCGAAATTATCTTAAATCCGTTCTTAATTTTTATTTTCAGTAATCACTCCGTCGGTGTAACAGCTCCCTGCACCCGACCGCTCACTTGTCAAATGTGAAAGTAAAGGTTACGTTCAAACTGTGTCACTATATGTTTATAAACAATAGTCGCTTTTTCTGAGATAAATGTGATGACCACCTCACGGATAGTACGTGGCACTAAAGCCCGAATCTTTCTGTACATATGTGCCGTTTTAATCATAACCGGGATCATCGCCTGCTACAACAACACACTTTCGCAGCTCGAAGATGCCAGAAAGTCCAACGAAATCTGTCATCAGCAGGAAGAGAACCTATCAACGCAGCTTCAAGGTTTACCCATTTTATCATTGCCACCCACGTGCCGCTTACCCCGCAATTTTAATCTATCTTGCAGTTATATCCGACTACAAGCAACGTCTGGAAAAATCGTTAAAGACTGAGAAAGCCGAACATCAACAAGTTAGGAATGAGTTAGAAAACAAACTGAATGAGGAGAAGTCGAGGAACGAAAAAGCGACGAATGAGGCAAACTTGAGGTTTACGTCATTGCAGCAACATTTCAGTATGATGCAAACGCAGTATGATGACTTACAGTCAAAGTTGAAGGAGGTCCAGGATGAGCTGAAAGAGGTTAAGGCGTCGAAGGAGAGCTTGAAAGTTGGTGCTTGGGTGGAGGTTGTGTGGTTTTTATAGTTTTTGGTTGTAGTCGAAATTTATGGAGGTGCAGACTAAAAATGAGCGGTTGCAAGGCGAAAATGGGGACTTGCAGAGGCAGGTAGAGGAGCACACAAATGATAATAGGGATGCCCAAAGTCAGGTTAATCATCTGACTAAGGAGAATCATGCATTACAGAAGGAACTGGATGAGCTCAAGGTAAGACAGGTTGGTCTTCTAATTGGGGTTTACTTAAAGCAATATTTTTTTTATTGTTAAATCAGTTATGTACTTCTTAATATTACTATCTAGTGCTCATCCAGGTGTGATTGCATGGTAACATTTAAAAATTCACTGATGGTAACTAGATAACATTTATTAATTAAGAACTAGTCTATAAATAGCAGAGAAAGGTGACTGGTGGAATATTTCTGATTAAAATCATTTATGGAATTTCGTTCCAGTGTTGCATAATCACATTTTATGATAAATGTAAACAATACCGTTCAATAACTCAGATTAGTTATTCCAAATTGAAAACATGTTTGAATATGTCTTTGTAAAGCAAGTATAATTGAAATTGTACTTAATTTATATAGCATTGTTTTACAACATTTTTATATTCGAAAATATTTAACGCTTGTATCAGAAATTGCTTATTGTTTGTTCTAATAGTGCTTTACTATGTTTCTAATACGGATAGTAATTCCAGCGTGTAATTGTGAACTCGTTTTACCTTATTAGTGCAGCTTAAGAGAATGTTCATTGATTTTTTACTTCCTAAACCATAGCTAATGGAAATAAGGTCATATTTGCGTTTATTTTGGTTTTCTTAGCGTTGTCCAACGCAAAATACGAAAATGTAAGTTTCTCATGGGCTTCTGTTCCTCACGGCAATTGTATTTTGAATTTACTTAAGTAATTACCTTGAAATTATAATTAGGTGTAAAAACGCCAAGAATTTCGGAAAATATTTCTATCAATTACTGTAAATGTTATTTAAATTTTATAAAATAACGTACTCCTCCATTTGTGGTTTATGAATCCATGTTGAGTTTTTATCTTGGGTATCCAGATTAAAAAAAAAATTAATACACAAGATTTGATGATGTCATCTTACAGTTTTGTTGAATAAATGCTATTTAAATGTTAAAAAAATAACATGGTCTTAAACTAGTGGTTTATGAATCCGTGTCGATTTTTTTCCTAGATCTCGAGATTTTTGGAAAAATTGTAGACATGTGTAACAATTTTTCGAATTTTCTGTTCCTTTGAGTTTTTGATATCTCTATTTTTCAACTTTCGATTTGTCACTTTGATATTCTAGTTTTGGGAAATTTTTTTTCTCGATTTTTAAATTTTAGGTTTTTCAGTTTTTCGATTTTTTAATGTTTGAATTTTAATTTTTCAATTTTTCCGGGTTTTCAATTTTTGCGATTTTTTAAATTGTGGATTCCCGATTTTTGTATTTTTCAATTTTTCGGATTTTTTTTGTTTCGGTTACTCGATTTTTCAATGTTTCGATATTTTAATGTTCCAATTTTTTAAATCTTAGTTCTATTTTTAACTAACACGTAGTTGCTAAGCTTAAGCACATAAGCGAAACACAATGAATGCTAGACAACTGGATCGAATGTACTGCACTGATGAGATCAAACAAGATCGAAACTGCAGTCTACAGGTTTCCAACGGGTTGTCTGGTCTTCGGTATGGTTAAACACTTATATTTTTTAATTCTTTGAAATTTTAAATGTTTGATTTTTCACATTTTTGATGTTCAAGTTTTTAAATTTTACATTTTTTGATTTTTTGATGTTTCGATTTCTTGCCATCTCGGTTATTCGATTTTTAAAATTTTTGCACTTTTCGATTTTTAAATTTTTCGATGTTTCGATTTTTCGATTTGGAATTCGTTAGTTTTTCGATTATTCAATTTTTGAGATATTTTCGATTTCTCGATTTTTTGATGTTTCGATTACTGGATTTTTCAATTTTTTGATTTTTAAATTTCACAATTTTTTTAATTTTTGGATTTCTAAGTTTCTCGATTTTTGATTATTTCAGTTCGATAATTCTATTTTGCCAATTTCGGTATTTTAAAATTTTTTCCTTTTTTAAATATTACGACTTTTCAACTTTTGATTTCGGAACTTTTCAATTTCTGGATTTTTTTTTTTTGATTTTTTGATGTTTCGAATTGTCGATTTTTCAATTTTAAAGGTCATCGATTTTTCAATTTTTCGAATTATTAAATTTTAAATTTTTCAGTTTTTTGATGTTTCGATCTTTCGATTTTTTCGTTTTTTCAATTTTTCGGTTTTTAAAATTTCGGATTTCTAGTTTTTTAGTTTTTCTATTTCTCGATTTGTCGAGAATTTCGATTTTTTGATTATTCAATTTCTTCACTTTGTGGTTTATCAATTTTTCAATTCTTCGAATTTTTGATATTTCGATCACTCTATTTTTCAATTTTTAGATTTTTAAATTTTTTAATTTTCCAATTTTTTTAAATTTATTTTTTTCAATTTTTCGATTTTTAAATTTCTCGATTTCTCCATGTTTTTTTGATGTTTCGATTTTCAGATTTTTTTATTTTTCGGCTTTTCGATTTTCCGATTTTCCAATTTACCAATTTTTCGTTGAATTTGTCAATTTTTCGATATTTTAATTTTACAATTTTTTAAATTCTAGACTTTTAGATTTCTCGATTCCTCGAGTTTTGAATATTTCAGTTGTTGGTATTTCTGTTTTTCAAATTTTGGTATTTTTAAATTTTTGAGTTTTCAGTTTTTGAATTTTGAATTTTTAAAATTTTTACATTTTTTTATTCAATTTTTAAATTTCTTGATTTTTCGATTTTTTGATGTTTCGATTTTTAGATTTTTCAAATTTTCGGCTTTTAGATTTTCCAATTTTTCGATGTTTCGATTTCCCAATTGTCCGTTTTAGTTTTGGAATTTTTCAATTTTCAGATTCTTCAGTTTTTTCGCCTTTTCTATTCTCTATTTTTCCTTTCAGTTTGGGAATTTTTCAATTTTTGGATTCTTCAGTATCCGAATTTTACAATTTTTGCAATTTTTTAAATTTAGAATTTTCGATTTTTGAATTTCTTAATTTTTCGATTTTTGGATGTTTTCTATTATACTCGATTTTTCAATTTCTCGATATTTTAATTTTATACTTTTTTAAATTTTAGATTTTTCGATTGCTCAGTATCTCTAGTTTTGAATATTTCATTTGTTGAATATCTTTATTTTTTAAATCAATTTTTCAGGGCTTTTCGATTATTCGGCTTTTCGATTTTTGAATTTGATAATTTTTCGATTTTTTGATGTTTCGATTACTCGATTTTTCAATTTCTTGATATTTTAATTCTACAATTTTTTGAATTTTCCGATTTTTCAATATCTATACTTTTTAATATTCCAGTTGTTGGATATTTTATTTTTGAATTTTTAAAATTTTTACATTTTGCGATTTTCAATTCGTCGACTTTTCGATTTTTAAATTTCTCAATTTTTCGATGTTTCGATTTTTCGATTTCCCAATTGTTCGTTTCAATTTTGGAATTTTTCAATTTCCCGATTTTTCAATTTTTGGGATTTTTTAAATTTAGAATTTTCAGTTTCAGTTCGATTTTTCAACTTTTCGACTTTTGAAGTTGTCAATTTTTCGGTTTTTTTGTGTAATTTTCGATATTTTAATTTTACAATTTTTTTAATTTTAGATTTTTCGATTTCTCAACTTCTCGAGATTTGAATACATATTTCAGTTCGATATGTCTATTTTTAAAATTTTTCGATTTTTAAATTTCACGATTTCTCAATTTTGCGATGTTTTCGATTTTGAGATTTATCAATTTTTCGTTTCAGTTTTGGAATTTCTCAATTTTCCAATTCTTGAGTTTCCCGATTTTTCATTTTTTGCGATTTTTTAAATTCTGTATTCTCGATTTCTTGGTTTTTCGATTTTTTATTGAGTTTTAAATATTTCAGTTTTACGATATTTCCGTTTTTCAAATTTTGGTATTTTTAAATTTTCAAGTTTTCAAATTTTTTTTAGTTTCGAATTTTTAAGATCTTGATATTTTTCGATTTCTCAATTTTTCGAGTTTTCAATTTTTAAGTTTCTCGATTTTTCGATCTTTTGATGTTTCGATGTTTTAATTTGCTAATTGTTCGTTTCAGTTTTGGAATTTTTCAGTTTCCCGATTTTTCAATTTTTACAATTTTTGAAGTTTACAATTTTCGATTTTTCGACTTCTCCATTTTTGAATTTGTTAATTTTTCGATTTTTTGATGTTTCGATTATACTCAATTTCTCGATATTTTAATTTTATACTTTTTTAAATTTTAGATTTTTCGATTTCTCAGTATCTCTAATTTTGAATATTTCAGTTGTTGAATATTTCTATTTTTGAAATCAGATTTTTCAATTTTTCAGGGCATTTCGATTTTCCAATTTTTTAAATTTAGAATTTTCGATTTCTCGGTTCTTCGATTTTTCGACTTTTCGATTTTTGAATTTGTTGATGTTTCCATTACTCGATTTTTCAATTTCCCGATATTGTAATTTTACAATTTTTTGAATTTTAGACTTTCCGATATCTCAATATCTCTAGGTTTGAATATTTCAGTTGTTGGTTATTTTTATTTTCTAGATTTTGGTTCTAAAAACATTCAGTTTTTTTATTTTTGAATTTTTTTTAATTTTTACATTTTGCGATTTTCAATTTTTCGACTTTCGATTTTTAAATTTCTCAATTTTTCGATTTTCAATTTTGGAATTTTTCAATTTCCCGATTTTTCAACTTTTCGATTTTTAAATTTGTAAATTTTTCGATTTTTTTATGTAATTTTCGATATTTTAATTTTACAATTATTTAAATTTTAGAATTTTCGATTTCTCAACTTCTCGAGTTTTCAATATTTCAGTTCGATATGCCTATTTTTTAAATTTTGTGTTTAACAATATTTGAGTTTTCAGTTTTTTATTTTTGAATTTTTTAAATTTTTACATTTTTCGATTTTTAAATTTTTCAATCTTGCGAAGCTTCGATTTTCGGATTTATCACTTTTTTGTTTCAGTTTTGGAATTTTTCAATTTTCCAATTCTTGAATTTCCGGATATTTCAAATTTTTGCAATTTTTTTAAATTCTGGATTCTCTATTTCTTGGTTTTTCGATTTTTTATCGAGTTTTGAATATTTCAGTTGTACGATATTTCCGTTTTTCAAATTTTTGGTATTTTTAAATTTTCGATTTCTCAATTCTTCGAGTTTTCAATTTTTAGATTCCTCGATTTTTCGATCTTTTGAAGTTTCGAGTTTCAATTTTTTCAATTTTTCGGCTTCTCGATTTTCCAATTTTTCGATGTTTCAATTTCCTAATTGTTCGTTTTAGTTTTGGAATTTTTCAGTTTCCCGATTTTTCAATTTTTGCAATTTTTGAAGGTTGCAATTTTCGATTTCTCGGTTTTTAGATTTTTCGACTTCTCCATTTTTTAATTTGTTGATTTTGCGATTTTTTGATGTTTCGATTATACTCGATTTTTCAATTTCTCGATATTTTAATTTTATACTTTTTTAAATTTTAGATTTTTCGATTTCTCAGTATCTCTGGTTATGAATATTTCAGTTGTTGAATATTTCTATTTTTTAATTCAGATTTTTCAATTTTTCAGGGCTTTTCGATTTTACAATTTTTTAAATTTAGAATTTTCGATTTCTCGGTTTTCCGATTTTTCGACTTTTCGATTTTTGAATTTGTAAATTTCTCAATTTTTCGATGTTTCGATTTTTCGATATCCCAATTTTTCGTTTCAATTTTGGAATTTTTCAATTTCCCGATTTTTGAATTTGTCAATTTTTCGATTTTTTGTGTAATTTTCGATATTTTAATTTTACAATTTTTTAACTTTTAGATTTTCGATTTCTTAACTTCTCGAGTTTTGAATATTTCAGTTCGATATGTCTTTATATTTTTCAAATTTTTGTGTTTTTAAATTTTTGTGGTTTCGGTTTTTTGATTTTTGAATTTTATATTTTTCGATTTTTCAATTTTCCAACTTTTCAATTTTTCAAGTTTTCGATGTCTCAGTTTTTCAACATTTTAGTTTTGGGTACTTTTCAATTTCTGGATTTTTCAGTTTTTTGATGTTTAATTTTTCGATTTTTTGATGTTTCAATTTTTCTACTTTTCGGATTTCGATTTTTGGGTTTTATAATTTCCTGATTTCTGAATGTTTCGATTTTTGACTTTTCCATTTGTTCTCTCAAAATTTCATTTTTTCGATTTTTCGAAAAGCTTTTTCCCCGTACTTTTTTTAAATCTCCTTAATTTTAAATAAATTAGGATGTTAAGGTAGCTAAGTTCCTTTTAAATGATATTCGATAAAAAACCGTTCTAAAACAAAATGCAAGTAGCGAAATTCCTGGTGGATTTACATACCTAAATATATGACGTTCTATATAAAAAATCGTAGATTTTTATTTTTTAATCGTACATAATCGGTCTTTCTACCATATTATTCTTCTCTTGGTTAATATATTCCATCTTCTCTTCTTTTTAGCGTAAATGTTCTGCGTACGAATCCATCCAGCCCCCCAACATCGTCTCCCCCGAAGCCTCCTCGCCTCGCAACGCGCCCTCCTTCAGCAAACAAGTCCAAGTCAACCCCAACGAATACAAAATCAAACTCGAAGACAAGTCCCAAGAACCCCCACAATTAGAATCCCTCAAGCAAGTTCAGCCCCCGAGCCAGAACTTCATAAAGACACCATCGAGGTCAACGACAACATCGAGTCTCAAAGTATCTCAAGCCAGTTTGAACGGCGCAAGACCGTTACTGGTTCCCACCGTGACGCCAAAAAGTGCCAAGCTCGTCCCTCCTCTCCCCTACGCGAAGAAACTGCCAGAAGGCGTGGTGCCAGTTCCTGAGAAGCGCGAAGTAGACAAGAAGACTGAAGAAGAGCGAAACGAGTTGCCGGACGAAACCGTCAACAACAGGTACCGGAACAAAATCAACGAGATAGCGAAGGAGGAGAAGAAGTTGGATGAGGTGGACAAGGAAAACGTGGCTCACGAGGTGTTCGACCAACACAACGCTTACGATAATTTCGGGTTCGGGGAGATGAATGACGGGGTGAAGAACGTGGAGAAGCAGAATTTCAAGCAACACATCGACCACTTGGGGGTGGAAGGGAATAAAGTGTACGAGAACGAGGATAATCAGCAGATCGAAGAGAATGATCCTGAAGATGGTGAGTATGACTACGATTGAGGGGATTGATGGTGAGTTGGATTTCAGACGATCCGGATTATGCGGATCATTTAGGACGGATAAAGGACCCGGTGGTGAGGAACTGACGTTTGGGATTCTAAATCAAAGGTACTCGACTGGACGACAGAGCGAACGAAATTTTTCTTAAATTCGTCGGGTGGGGTACTGGTACTTAAGTCAAAACGTTTTTAAGGATCATTTTCTGTGGTTAACTTCTAAGGCTCAAATATATTATTCAGTATTTCTATTTGGCTATCTGTTTAATGCGCAGGCTTAAACTAAGTACTTGTATATATGTTAAATACTATAGCGGTTGTTAGATTTAAGTCGGAAATACTTTGTTTGATTTTTTTTTTTTTTGTTTAAAATTTCGTGATCTCGGTTTCAACACCAGCATTTATGTGAATTCTAGCGAATCTTTATTTAAATTGTATATTAGTTGTGATGTTTTACACTTCTTTGATGACATTTTTGATGGATAATTCTTGTATATATTATTTGTATGGAGATATCTCGGTAATAAAGAGGTATTTATTAGTGTAATTGCAGTTTTATTTCTAACTGTGTCAGTCAGTTTTTCCAAATGTAAAAGTAAAAACAGAAAGTTGAACAGGTTATGGGCCCAGGATGAAGCAAAATATCTTCGACAAATCACAAAGAACAAGACTCCTATTTTAGAGAGAAGACAAAAGTACTAGAAAAGAAGACAAATACTCTAAAGTTATGTTTACAGCATTAGGAAATATACAGTCTAGTACACAAGCTGCAAAAAATAAAAGAAAAAATAAAGGCAGAAGGGAAAGATACAGTTGAAGGTAGTTAATGTTTACTTAATGATGTACTTTTTGTATCCGAATTCAGCAAAAAGTTATTTATTTCGGTTAATGCGATAACAAAGAATATGGTGGTGAAGTGACATTTTATTAAAGAAAAGGTAGGTAATAATAAAGAAAATAATAAAAAAATATTTGAAAGAACAAAATTGAAAGTAGTCTATACATGCTTGGCATCAAAGTAATAAATTATATATTGTACTGTAGAATTTTCTTGGTGAAATACAACATTTAACATTCATTCGATTTTTCGATCTCGGTTGCTCGATTTTAACAATTTTTGACTTTTCGATTTCAAATTTCCCGATTTCCCGATCTTTGATATTTCGTTTAGATTTCGCGATTTTTCGATATTTCGATTTTTCGATTTCCCAATGTTGGAATTCTTCAGTTTTCCGATTATTCAATTTTTGCGGGATTTTAATTTTATAATTTTTTAAAATTTTTCAATTTCTAAATTTTTTGAACATTTCAGTTGTTCGATATTTCTATTTTTCAAATTTTTTAATTTTTGGAACCTTTCAATTTCTGGATTTTTCAGTTTTAAAAATTTTAGATTTTTCAAATCTTCAATTTTTCGCATTTTTAAATTTAAAATTTTTCAGTTTCTTGATGTTTCGATTTTTCGATCTTTCGATTTTTTCATTATTCAATATTCCAATTTTTCAATTTCAATTTATCGATCATTTTAATTGTAAATTTTTCAATTTTTCGACATTTCAGTATTTTAATTTTTCAATTTTTCGTGTTTTTAGTTTTTCGATTCTTCATTTTTCAATTTATAATATTAGATTTTCGATTTTTTCTCTATCTCGATTTTTCAGTTCTTCAATGTTTCTGTTTTTCAATTTTTGGAATTTTTAAATTTTTGATTCTTCAGTTGTATGATCTTTTTTTAATTTTACATTTTTCGATTTTTTGATGTTTCGATTTCTTAACAACTCAGGTATTCGATTTTTTAAATTTTGTTGTGTTGTTCGATTTTTAGACTTTTCGTCTTTTTGATTTTCCAGTTTTTCGATGTTTCAATTTCCCTAAGTTGAAACTCTTCAGTTTTCCGATTGTTTAATTTTTGCGATTTTTTTGCGAATTTTGGATTTTCGATTTCTCGATTATTGGACTTTTCGTTTTTTGATATTTTAATTTAACAATTTTTTAAATTTGAAATTGTTCGATTCCTAAATTTCTCGATTTTTGAATATTACAGTTGTTCGATAATTCTAAGTTTCAAATTTTGGTATTTTTCAGTTTACAGTTTTTTAATTTTTCAATTTTTTAAATTTTCCATTTTTCGATTTTTCAAATTTTTCGACTTTTCGATTTTTAGATTTCTCGATTTTTTAAGTTTCAGAAGTCTCAATTTTTCAAAATTTCAGTTTTCGGAACTTTTTAATTTTTGGATTTTTCTACTTTTCGATTTTTTTTTTGATGTTTCGATTTGTCGATTTTAAATTTTCGATATTTTTATTTTTCAACTTGAAAATTTTCAGATTTTTCAATTTTTCTATTTCTCGATTTGTCGAAATGTCGATGTTTGGATTTTTTGATTATTCAATTTCCCAATTTTTCAATTTATCGATCATTTTAATTGTAAATTTTTCAATTTTTAACTTTTCGACTTTGGCCAATATCCATTTCTCAATTTTTTGATTTTTAGATTTCTCGGTTTTCCGTTTTTCAACTTTTCGGTTTTTCGATTTTTCGGCATTTCAGTTTATTAATTTTTCAATTTCTCGTGTTTTTAGTTTTTCGATTCTTCATTTTTCCGATTTTTCAATTGTTGCGATTTTTTAAACCTTGGATTTTTGATTTCTTGGTTTTTCAATTTATAATATTAGATTTTCGAATTTTTCTATGTCTCGATTTTTCAGTTCTTGGATGTTTCTATTTTTCAATTTTTGGAATTAATTTTTTTTTTTCAATTTTATGATTATTTTTTTTTAATTTTACATTTTTCGAGTTTTTGATGTTTCGATTTCTTGACATCTCAGGTACTCGATTTTTTAAATTTTTCAACGTTTCGGTTTTTAAATTTCTCGAGTTATCGATCTTTGGATGATTCGATTCGGTTGTTGTTTTTAGACTTTTCGTCTTTTTGATTTTCCAGTTTTTCGATGTTTCGATTTCCCAATGTTGAAACTCTTCAGTTTTCCGATTATTTAATTTTTGCGATTGTTTTGCTAATTTTGAATTTTCGATTTCTCGATTATTGGACTTTTCGGTTTTTGAATATTTCAATTTTTCGATTTTTTAATGTTTCGTTAGTCGATTTTTCACTTTTTTGATATTTTAATTTTACAATTTTTTAAATTTGAAATTGTTCGAATTCTAAATTTCTCGATTTTTGAATACTCCAGTTCGATAGATAAGTTTCAAATTTTGGTATTTTTCAGTTCAGTTTTTTAATTTTTCAATTTTTAAATTTTCCATTTTTCGATTTTTCAATTTTTCGACTTTTCGATTTTTAGATTTTTTGATTTTTCAAGTTTCAGTTTTCGGGACTTTTCAATTTTTGGATTTTTCTACTTTTCGATTTTTTTTTGATGTTTTGATTTATCTATTTTTAAATTTTTCGATATTTTCATTTTTCAATTTGAAAATTTTCAGATTGTTCAATTTTTCAGCTTCTTGATCTTTCGATTTTACAATTTTTCTATTTCTCGATTTGTCGAGATTTCGATGATTGTTTTTTTTTTATTATTCAGTATCTCAATTTTACAATTTGTCGATCTTTTTAGTTGTATTTTGCCAATTTTGAATTTTCGATTTCTCGATTATTGGACTTTTCGGTTTTTGAATATTTCAATTTTTCGATTTTTTAATGTTTCGTTAGTCGATTTTTCACTTTTTTGATATTTTAATTTTACAATTTTTTAAATTTGAAATTGTTCGATTTCTAAATTTCTCGATTTTTGAATACTCCAGTTCGATAGATAAGTTTCAAATTTTGGTATTTTTCAGTTCAGTTTTTTAATTTTTAAATTTTTAAATTTTCCATTTTTCGATTTTTCAATTCATCGACTTTTCGATTTTTAGATTTTTTGATTTTTCAAGTTTCAGTTTTCGGGACTTTTCAATTTTTGGATTTTTCTACTTTTCGATTTTTTTGATGTTTTGATTTATCTATTTTTAAATTTTTCGATATTTTCATTTTTCAATTTGAAAATTTTCAGATTGTTCAATTTTTCAGCTTCTTGATCTTTCGATTTTACAATTTTTCTATTTCTCGATTTGTCGAGATTTCGATAATTGTTTTTTTTTATTATTCAATATCTCAATTTTAGAATTTATCGATCTTTTTAGTTGTACATTTTTCAATTTTTTACTTTTCGATTTTGACCTATATCGATTTCTCAGTTTTTTGATTTTTAGATTTCTCGGTTATCCGTTTTCCGACTTTTCGGCTTTTCGATTTTCCAATTTTTCGTCATCTCAGTTTTTTAATTTTTCAATTTCTCGCGTTTTCAGTTTTTCGATTCTTCAATTTTCCGATTTTTCAATTTTTGCAGTTTTTTAAATTTTGGATTTTTGATTTATAAAATTAGATTTTTAGATTTGACAATTTTCCGATTTTTCGGTTCTTCGATGTCTCTTATTTTTAAATTTTTGATTTTTCGGTTTTATTTTTTTTAATTCTGGATTTTTCGATTTTTTGATACTTCGATTTCTTGACATTGCATTCAATTTTTTTAATTTTTCGACTTTCCGAGTCTTAAATTTCTCGATTGGTCAATCTTTTGATCCTTCGATTTTCGGATTTCTCGGTTGTTTTGATTTTTAGAATTTCCGTCTTTTTGATTTTCCAGTTTTTCGATTTTTCGATTTCCCAATGTTGGAATTCCTCAGTTTAACGATTATTTAATTTCTTCTTAATCGGCATTTATTTCAGCCAATTTTTCCACAGTTGCCGATACATACACTGGCAGATTCTATTCATTGTTTTCAAAAACTATCCAATGTTCAAGGTAAAAAGGTGAAAAAGTTTTTCACAAATTTAAGTTTGTTTTAGAAAAAAATGTAGGTTTTAATACCCTGTCGCCTGTGAGTAAAATTTTGGGAGGAGAATTTGTAAAAGTGGATATAGATCTAGATGATATAATAGAGATTAGAAAATTTAAAATTTACTTCAATAACTTCTTTCGATGTTGAAAGATCGCTTTCTATGTTAAAACATGTGTTTTGTGACAAGCGCGAATCATTTTTAATAGAAAATTTTGAAAAACATTTAATTAATTGGTTTAATAACAATTATAGGTGTAAAATACAAATACTGTGTAAACAGCATTTTCTTACAATCATACTTAATTTAGTTATAATTTGAATTTTTAATTTACAAATAAACGGAAAAAAGAATAAGCATTCGAAAACGACGAAAAATAAATTAATAACGTTAATCGGTGTAATTTAAATCAACTAATAGTACAACAATCACAAATCAAAGAGTATGATTGCATGCGTAGTACAATCTTATCAAACGATATACTGGATAATGAATTAAATTTTATGTAAAAAGAATTTTCCACATTTGGCCATTTAAGCGATTTAACATTTCAAAAACCGCGCCAAAACAGCAACAAAAACGCACGCCGCCACTGCGTAAACCACGAACGCAGTAGCGTAGACCAATCCATCCACTTAACAAAATTTATTAACAACTACGTTAAATTGAACAAAAACATCATACAAAAACACTCCGCATCATTTCCAAACCACAAACTCAACACAAAAACAAATTAACCACCCATTCAACGCTCATTCTGCCTCATCGATTGCCGCCGTCCCACCACTCATTATAACTAATGAGAATTCTAACCACTGCTCCCACATACGCAACAACCCAAAACACCCGCCTTTTCGTCATTTCCCCCCAAAACGACCCCCTTTTTCGCTTCTCCGCTTCGCCAGATCCCCGCACAAGGCCCTCACGCGCCAATTTTCCCCATCCTTGCCGCCTCTTTCGCGAAAACGCGAAAACCGTCCGCCGCCATTCGAACTCTTGACAGCTCGCTGTCATTTTCCCACCAGTCCAGTGGAGTCGATTGTGTTGGCTTGGGTCCGTAAAAATACGATGTTGTGAAGACAAAATTGGTGTCTTGGTGCCCCTAGAGCCGCCAGAATGGCCCAAATCGAGTACGACTTTAATCGCATCTGCCGCACGTGCAAGACTGAGGCCCCAGAAATGAGATCGGTCTTCGAGGGATGCGAATTGTTGCACGAGTGTCCCCGTATTGACGAGATGCTAATGGCTTGCACCTCCGTCCAGGTAAATAATTGAGTTCTTGTAATTAGTGGTAAGCCGGCGGTTGCAGGTGAGGACCGAAGACAGGCTGCCGAAGCTGATTTGCGTGACTTGCACGGAGCAGCTGAAGGGGGCCTACGTTTTCAAGCAGCAATGTCAGGAGGTGGAAGTGTGTCTGAGGGAATATGCGAAGCATATGCCGCAGGACTGCAAGGAAGAGCAGATTGTGGACGAAGATGCAACGTTTACAGGTGGGCTTGTGGGGAGAGTGAGGTATCGGAGTGGTCGAAGAGATGAGATTGGTTTGTTTATTTTTCTGAGAGGAAGTTGCGTTTAATTAAAAGTGAAGGGGTAATTTTAAAAGGCATTTTCTGGAGAGACGTAAATTATGTATGACTAAATTATGTTTAAAAAAATGAAATTTTAGATATTTAAACAAAAATTATTAGTTTTCACTTCTCGATCTTAACTAATGAAAAAACATGAAATTAATCATTCGATGAATGACTAATTTCATGTTTTCTATGCTTTTTTTGAATTGTACAAAATACAAATACTGGCATCTGTAGATCTGTTTTTCTATTGGTAGTTTTGTCAAGACAAAATCACTGAAACTTTGGGACCAATTGTTGTACCTTAAGGCTATAATGTAGATAGTAAATCGCTAACCAAAATGTGCTTATCCCTACTCATAATTTGATGACGTCATTTCAAAATTTTGCTAAATAAATCGTGTTTTTTACATTGATGATCATGCACATAATATGCACACATTTTGGGTCTAAATATACACCACTTTATTAAAGATATGCAGCTAAATATGCAAAACATGCAGATGCAAGTTGTTAATTTGAATATGTCTAATAAAACAAAATGATATTTTTTATTATTTATTGTTAAAGTACAGGTCTTGTAACGTTTATTTGCTATATAAGAATTCCGCTGGCGTTGCTTTTAGAGCTGAAAATTGTCATTTAAAAACTCCGTTGTCAAGTTGCCGTTAATAGTAACTTTGATGTTCAACTTTTGCCGTATTTAAGGGAGTTGTACATAGAAGAAAAGTGAAGGATTTAAGTTGATTACTACAAAAATTTACCATTTTAGACATGCTTTAAGTTTCTTGTTGCCGAAATAAGTCTACACATATTAAAACAAAAAGGTAAAATATAGCCCCGCCCATCCGCCCTAACTCAATTCTGATGATTTTTTTTATTCGTCGTGAGCCAAGAAGGCGGAGCTTAACTCCAAAATCCTTATTTCTCTATGAGGAATTAAAAACATGTTTTTGAATATCGTGTTGTTCAAAGAATACTATGTAAATTAAGAAAAATAAAGTCAATGATACGCCCCACCCACAACCGCCCCGATCTCAATTCTCAATTGTAATGAATTTTTCATTCGTCGTCAGATCGAGGGGCGGCGCTTAATTGCAAGATCCATATTTGTCTACAAGAATTTACCATTTTCAACGTGTTTTAAGTTGCTTGTTCTGAAAAGACGACTACGTATATTAAGAAAAAAGGCAAAATATAAGCCCCGCCCTCTCTCAATTGTGATGATTTTTTTTAATCGTCAGGAGCCAATGGAGCGAAATTTAACTGCAAAATCCTTATCTAAGAATTAAAAAAATCATCACAATTGAGATGGGGTGGGTGGGCGGGGTTTATATTTTCCTTTTTTTCTTAATATACATAGTATTCTTTGGATGACACAATATTCAAAAACATGTTTTTAATTTCTTCTAAACAAAAAAGTATTTTGCAGTTAAGTTCCGCTCTTTGGTTCACGGCAAATTAAAAAGAATCATCACAATCGAGATAGGGTGGGTGGGCGGGCTTACATTTTGCCTTCGCAGTATTAAAATGTGTAGACTTCTTTTCACAACAAACTTAAAACGTGTTTAAATGGAAAATTTGTATAAGGAAATATCAATTTTGCAATTATACTCCGCTTCGTAACTGCAAAATCCATATTTCCTTGCAAAAATATACCATTTTAATTATGTTGTAAGTTTCTTGTTGTGAAAATATGGTATGTATATCAAGAAAAAAAGGCAAAATATTAGCCCCGCCCACCCGCCCTATCTCAATTCTGATATTTTTTTTTAATTCGTCGTACGCCGAGGGGTGAAGCTTAATTGTAAAATCCTTATTTTTCTACGAGAAATTACCATGTGAAATATGTTCTTAAGTAATCTTTGGCTGTATTTTTTTCTTAATATACAATTACATATACAATTCTTTGAACAACAAGATACTTACTCAAAGTTTACCATTTTAAACATGTTTTACCTTTCTGGTTGTGAAAAGAAGACTACACATATTAAGAAAAAAGGCAAAATATAAGCACCGTCCACCCTCCCTGTCTCAATTCTGATGATTTTTTTTTAATCGTCAGGAGCCAAAGGAGCGAAATTTAATTGCAAAATCCTTATCTAAGAATAAAAAAAATCATCACAATTGAGATGTGGTGGATGGGCGGGGTTTATATTTTGCCTTTTTTCTTAATATACATAGTATTCTTTGAACAACACAATACTCAAAAACATGTTTTTAATTTCTTATAAAGAAATAAGTATTTTGCAGTTAAGCTCCGCCCCTTTGGTTCCAGGCAAACTAAAAAGAATCATCACAATCGAGATAGGGTGGGTGGGCGGGCTTACATTTTGCCTTTTCCATATTAAAATGTGTAGACTTCTTGTCACAACCTGAAACTTAAAAGAAGTTTAAAATGGAAAATTTGTATAAGGAAAAAGGGCAAAATATTATCCCCGCCCACCCGCCCTATCTCAATTCTGATAATTTTTTTTTTAATTCGTCGTACGCCGACGAATTAAATTGTAATTGTAATTGTAAAATCCTTATTTTTCTACGAGAAATTACCATGTGAAATATGTTCTTAAGTAATCTTTGGATGTATTTTTTTCTTAATATACATGGTATTCTTTGAACAACACGATACTTACTCAAAATTTACCATTTTAAACATGTTTTACGTTTCTGGTTGTGAAAAGAAGACTACACATATTAAGAAAAAAGGCAAAATATAAGCCCCGCCCACCCGCCCTGTCTCAATTCTGATGATTTTTTTTAATCGTCAGGAGCCAAAGGAGCGAAATTTAATTGCAAAATTCTTATCTAAGAATAAAAAAATCATCACAATTAAGATGGAGGGTGGGCGGGGTTTATGTTGCCTTTTTTCTTAATAAACATAGTATTCTTTGAACGACACAATATTCAAAAACATGTTTTTAATTTTTCTCGTAAAGAAATAAGTATTTTGCAGTTGAGCTCCGCCCCTTTAGTTCAAGGCAAATTAGAAAGAATCATTACAATCGAGATAGGGCGGGTGGGCGGGCTTACATTTTGCCTTTTACATATTAAAATGTGTAGACTTCTTTTCACAACATGAAACTTAAGACATGTTTAAAATGGGCAATTTGTATAACGAAATATCGATTTTGCAATTAGGCTCCGCCCCATAACTGCAAAATCCGTATTTCCTTGCAAAAATGTACCATGTTCTAAGTTTATAATAAAATATAAGCCCCGCCCACCCGCCCTCTCTCAATTGTGATATTTTTTTTTTAATCGTCATGAGCCAAAGGAGCGTAAATTTAACTGCAAAATCCTTATCTAAGAATTAAAAAAATCATCACAATTGAGATGGGGTGGGTGGGCGGGGTTTATGTTTTGCCTTTTTTCTTAATATACGTAGTATTCTTTGAACAACACAATATTCAAAAACATGTGTTTAATTTCTTGCAAACAAAAAAGTATTTTGCAGTTAGTCCCGCCCCTTTGGCTCACGGTAAATTAAAAAGAATCATCACAATCGAGATAGGGCGGGTGGGCGGGCTTACATTTTGCCTTTTCCAGGTTAAAATGTGTAGATTTCTTTTCACAATGGGAAACTTAAAACATGTTTAAAATGGGCAATTTGTATAAGGAAATATCGATTTTGCAATTAGGTTCCGTCCCATAGCTGCAAAATCCATATTTCCTGGCAAAAATGTACCATTTTAACGTTTATATGTTGCTTTTTTTCTTAATATACATAGTATTCTTTGAACGACACAATATTCAAAAAGATGTTTTTAATTTCTTGTAAACAAAAAAGAATTTTGCAGTTAGTACCGCCCCTTTGGCTCTTGGCAAATTAAAAATAATCATTACAATCGAGATAGGGCGGGTGGGCGGGCTTACATTTTGCCTTTTCCATATTAAAATGTGGACTTCTTTTCACAACATGAAACTTTAATAAATATGTTTAAATTTGTATAAGGAAATATCGATTTTGCAATTAGGCTTCCCGACCATAACTGCAAATTCCATATTTCCTTGCAAAAGTGTATCATTTTAACCATGGTTTAAGTTTCTTGTTGTGAAAATATGTTATGCATATTAAGAAAAAAAGGCAAAATATAAGCCCTACCCACCCGCCCTATCTCAATTCTGATAATTTTTTTATTCATCGTAAGCCGAGAGGCCGAGCTTAATTGTAAAATCCTTATTTTTCTACGAGAAATTACCATGTGAAATTTGTATGTTTTTACGTAATCTTTGGCTGTATGTTTTTCTTAATATACATAGTATTCTTTGAACAACACGATACTTACTCAAAATTTACCATTTTAAACATGTTTTACTTTTCTTGTTGTGAAAAGAAGACGAAGTATACATATTAAGAAAAAAGGGAAAATATAAGCCCCGCCCACCCGCCCTATCTCAATTCTGATGATTTTTTTTTTTAATCGTCAAGAGCCAAAGGAGCGAAGTTTAACTGCAAAATCCTTAGGTAAGAATTAAGAAAATCATCACAATTGAGATGGGGCGGGTGGGCGGGGTTTATAATTTGCCTTTTTTCTTCACATGCGTAGTATTCTTTGAACAACACAATATTGAAAAACATGTTTTTAATTTCTTGTAAACAAAAAAGTATTTTGCAGTTAGTTCCGCTCCTTTGGCTCACGGCAAATTAAAAAGAATCATCACAATCGAGATAGGGCGGGTGGGCGGGCTTACATTTTGCCTTTTCCATATTAAAATGTGTAGACTTCTTTTCACAACGTGAAACTTAATACATGTTTAAAATGGGCAATTTGTATAAGGAAATTTCGATTTTGCAATTAGGCTCCACCCCATAACTGCAAAATCCATATTTCCTTGCAAAAATGTACCATTTTAACCATGTTCTAAGTTTCTTGTTGTGAAAATGTGCTCTGTATATTAAGAAAAAAAGCCAAAATATA